ATTTCAAGTTCAAGTATGTTTATTGTCGGTTCGTTCATGGTAGGCTTGCAGTTACACAACTGGTCGGGGTCCGCTTACACAACTGGTCTTTTACAATGTATCAAAATACATTGATACTGCTTACACAATGTATCAAAATATATTACTTTGAAACCCATATCATTCACTGAAAAAAATTGGGCTACTCTTATTACAAATTCGCTACGTTTTGGCCGTCAGCTGCTACTTTCCGCAATTTGGATCTGGCAACCCTGGTGTTGTGTCCCTCACTGGTTAGTGTCATCAACGCCTTCAGTGTGGACGTGTGTCTGTGTCAGTCTCTAGTGGTTCCCCAGCTTGTTATTCTTCACCAAGGGAGGCCCCATATCATCAGGTGAATGACCACATCAAACAACACCCTGAATGTCCTTTTAGAACCAATTTATTTATTTATTTGTTTACATTGGACGAGAGTGACAGGTGATAGCACCCAACCTCTCAATTATCCTGTTCAATTCACGTCGACTCGTAGATCATTATTCACGTTTCGTCATCCAGTTCCCGTACTCACAGCCTGGTGAAGACGCAGGTATATGAATTACTGGTAAATGTAGTTAACATCGTGTGTAATCTCAGGTCTCCCCCGCTTTACTAAGACTTTGAGCTGTAAGGTCCAATTGTACTGTATTGGACTGCGTGTGAACACTCACTCTGGGCCACAGGTCTTCAGGATGTGTCCTCCGGGAGGTACAGCCTGCTTTATATGCAGTGAGGTTGATTGTTGCCGCCTAAGACTGATAAAGATTGTTGTATATTCCTCCCATACTCGTCCTATGAGCGGCAATACCAAAGGGATTAAGAAGGTCTTAATCAGACCTCAGCGGGGTATGTTTACATTTCAATTTATATCTGCACACTTTATACTTGTAATGACATCTAGAAACGAACTATTTTGTGCTGCAACAAATGCGAATTTACAGTATATGTTGTAAATTGAACATAATGTCATTTGTCATAAAAGGAGTAAGTTGGTATGTTGGCACCAGTCAATAGGGTGTTAACAGCACTAAATAATTTGTCTCTGAGCAATACAGGAGATGTAGGGTCTCTCATGACTTTAAGGCAAAAGGTAGTGTTGACTTGCATGATTCTCTCTAGCATGGTTGGAAGCTTCAGTTCTTCCCTCATGTTGATGATTCTTGTGCATCTTGGGGCACCAAGAATTATCCTCATGGCTTCATTCTGTATTACTTCAAGTTTGTCCAACACAGAGGTGGGGAAGTTAATTAGGTGTAAAGCATGATAATCAACTAGAGATCTAACAAACATCATATAGAATAATCTAGCATATTTAATATTGATACCAATATTCTTACTAGTAAGTGTTTTCAGTGGTTTAAGTCTTTTTTCTTAACCTACGGTGTATATCTTTTACAATGTCACTGTTGATACCAACTCCAAGGTATTTGTTCTGCCTACACCTTTCAATGTTCTGGTTGTTAACCTTGAAAGTTATAGGGACAGGGGTTTTTTCTTGGAGATGGAGAACTCTGGATTTAGTTATAGAGATATCAACACCACCCTCAATGCTTTTAGCAGCGAGTGAATCAAGTAGAGCTTGCAGTCTAGTTTAGGTATTTGCAACAATGCATATGCCATCGGCATAACAGATGCGAATGCCACATTTTTTTCAAATGAAAAAATGTGTATTTGCACTTTATATCTCTGTGGACAGTGAAAAATGTTTTAATCATACACTAAGTTTGGTTCAGTCCGAGACTATGATTAAGACAAAGGCATACTTTCTGGTTGATCAGTAAGTTATTGTAGTAGTCTTAACTCTCCCGAGGGTGACAGGTATTGAGCCCAGCTCAACCAACTGGTCTTGTCGGTAAATGTATTTGAAATCACACAAGTTGGAGATTGTACTGTAAATGTAGGTCCGGATTTAGGCATAAGCTATAAACTGCAGCTCGGTCTGAAGGGGCCTCTCAAAATCTTAATTAAATCATTTTTCATTTGTTAATTTTAATCAATATAATATTTAATGATTTAACCTAATTAACATAACCAAATTAATATTAACAAATTAAACCAGATTTATTTAAAATCATCGTTTATAATAAGTTTGTTGGATTTGGTTATTTCATAACTATGCTTAAAAATTAATTTATATTAGATTTAATTATACATGTTTTTTATTACTTTGGTAGATATGTTTTACCAATGATGATTATTGTTCTGTATTTCTATATTACTTGCTATTGCGGCATTCTTTCCATGTTCAGTTGTTACACAGCCTTATTCATTGGTAAAGCTTGCCAAATAGTGGCCTCTACAGCTTTTCTCAGTGTAGGGTCTCATCATGCCTAAATCTGGCCCTGAATATATATGCCTGAGCACTCTCGTGTTTAACAAATTTGTGTCGAGTATGACACAGACCGCGAGCGAGACGTGGTTAAATAAGTGAATAATAGTGTTATCTGGGCCGAGCAAGATAGCAAAAAAAAAAAAAAAAGTAGCAAAATTAGAAGAAAAACTGCAAAAAGTAAAGAGATAAAAAAAAACGTATTTTATATATGCCTACATGTTAATTAGTTTAGTTAATATGCACCGTGAGCCTATGCTATAGCAGTAATGGAAATATGTTAATACTATGAGAATGTGAATTATATTAGTTTTAACATTTGCACCAAATGCTGCTCGCGATTAGCGGTTTCTACGAAATATGCTTAACAAGCCACAATGTAGAACCGCCTACCCACCGGAGTTATAAATGTCAAGACATTACTTTAAGTAAAGTAATAGTTGTTAAACGATTTGGCGGGGTCGTATTCCGGGGAACATTGGATTATAGACTTGCCCGAAACGCTACGCATACTAGTGGCTGTACAAGAATGTAAGAACTCTTGTATATATAAATAAAATAAAATAAAATAAAATAAAATATATTTCAAAATCCAGTTGGAACAATGGGGGAAACCTTTGGCAAGCCTCCACCTTCCTGTCCCTATTGAGGCCACTAAAGAGATAGTGGTCTTTATGTAAATTCTGGTAAATAATTATGTACATATATGGATACAAGACATTATCTTTTTTAGCGTGTAAGCAAACTGCAAGAGTAAGCAGGTAAACCATGAAAATGAGCTGGTAAATGACGGGTGTAAGCAGGTACGCAATGGAAAACAAATTTCCAATTTCAGACTTTAAAATAATCACAGGGGAGGTCGCTGTAGATTGTCAATATTTCTTACAGTAGTACTGGGGCTTACCCTGAATGGCCTATGACACTCGCATACCCTGCATGTGTCACCTTGGAGAGTTAGGCATTGCTAGTCCTGAGCATCTGGCTCTCGAACTTCGAACTGAGACATTCTATTTTATAGATATAGATTGTAGTAATGGAAATTGCTACTATTGTGTAAATGAATAATAAGAAACCTATTTGTCTTAGTTACACATGCAACCACATACACTAGTTATTAAATTGTATGAATAACAATTTCCAAACCAAAATTTCGCCCAACGTGGGGCTCGAACCCACGACCCCGAGATTAAGAGTCTCGTGCTCTACCGACTGAGCTAGCCGGGCATGGGATGTAGATGACACATGCAAATATTTTAATTTGTTTATATACATTATTAGTAGATATGCTTATTTAAATTTTTGAAAGGCCTGATCACTAAGAGCAATGGAATGTAAAACCTAGCACTGCAGTCGCCGACCAAAAGTTATGTATGTACTCTGTATGTTAAGGACACGAGTTTCCAGAGTAGCTACCTGAAGTCTACTTAACTGTGAACCGGGCGATATTTTTTTTCTTTCAGCGTAGATAAGCTCCGTCTTTATTTCAAGATGTGTTGCCTATCTCTGGTTAAAAATCTGATGACTTAAAAATTCTTTTTTGGCACGAACAAAAAGTCAACATTAGGCATATTTCAGGTGGTTTATAAGTATTTTTCATGGCCTAGATAGCTCAGTTGGGAGAGCGTTAGACTGAAGATCTAAAGGTCCCCGGTTCGATCCCGGGTCTGGGCAGACTTTTGTTATAAATGTGTGGAAGACACATTGAAGGTGGTATGTGTGGTGTACACACACCACATTGTTGATGTGGTGAGTGGTGTTAAGTAGTTGTTGTGTTAAGCAATTGTTTAGACGTAGAGTAGTTGAGGATTAAACTCGATCTAATAATCAAGTGCTCAGTTTCTTATCATGTGGTTGTCTTAATCCCAAATTAATGCCTTCAGCATTAATACCTTCAGCTGTAATGGAGTATTCAAATGTTTTTGGTATCAAAATTCTTACTTTGAATTTATCAATTCTAAAACACATTTTCCACTTGGTAGATATGTAATAGTGACTAGTGTAATTAAGTGCTTAAATTAGTCTGTAATCTCTAATGCTCATGTTGTTCCATTCATGTCTTAGAACCTTAGCTGTTCACCATTGTTCACCCAATGTTCACACCTATTGACTCATTGTTGAGGGCCTGGTTGTAAACCACGCCCTCAATCAATATGGTGGGTCGTTTTCCATGGGGAAAATTAGTAGGATAAAGATTGAATTCAAACGAGCCACGGAAAGGGAAAGCTCTAAGGTATCTAACTAGTTGGTAATTTTAAATATATCAAATGTTGCACGTAATTGGCCACCAAGTTGCTTATCAAGCCGAGTTTTCCTGAAATTATATATTTGTCTAATGTGTGTTTTTTTCTAATTGTTTTTATTATGGATTTTTTGGGGGGAATTATTATGGAATCACATTATATTGACTTTATTTTTTGTTTAATTTCAGTTAAAACTAAATTTGAGTAAACCTAGCCAAGTCAGCAATTCATGTTCTTAATATTTTTGTTTTGTTTTTTGAGATATATACAAGAGTTGTTACATTCTTGTACATAACAAAATATATAATATAACATAATATAACATAATATAACAAAATATAACAAAATATATAATATAACATAATATAACAATGTTCTTAAATATTAATTCAAATAAACCAATTTGAAAAGGAATATTTGAAAACGATGAAAATCACTCTTCCTGTTAGGCAAATCGGGCCTTGCATATTAGACCAAGTAATGCGTTCTGGCTATTCGGTACAACATACCCGTTATTAGGCCGCTTTATACAGTACTGTATAAACATAACGCACTTCCCAGTGTATGTTTACTAAAAGTTTACTTAAACTTGAATTATGTTCTGAACTAATGTAGTATTGCTGGCTGGTCAATCAACCTCAAAGGCTATGTACAGTATTTTTTCTACCTTAAATCTATAAACTTTCGTGTAGATATTCTACATAAATTTTATAATTTTGCGTGTGACCGAGGGAGAGTCGCTCTACTCCTGTCAGCAAACATTATGGACTGTTATCACTATGTTAAATCACTCATTGTTTATATTAACAAAACAAATAATTATTCAAAGTTATTTTGCTTGCTGTGCCATCAACCAAACACTACAATCGTCCCCAGTACTTCAGATTAGTTACTGACTATGGCGTTTATGTGATAAGCATTTTGGGTATTTTACACAAATCGAACCAATATAGTTTATTTAAAAGTTATATAATAATCAAGTACGTAAAGTTATAGTGGTGTACAATGTGATTACGGATCTTATGATAAGTGCCTTAGACTTATGATAAGCGCGTACAACATGCGTAAGAAAGTGAAAATTCTTGTGAAGTTAGTCGTGAAATTAACTTTGCATCAGTAAGACGTCTTGATGAACTCATAAGAAACTGTAAAAGTTTCAAACTCATTACGGTGCACGTACTGTGTCAGACGGCGACACAGGGGTGAAGTAAAACTTCTTAGTGAAGCCAAAGTTACAGAGCTGTGGAACGCCTGTGAGAAGCGTTTTGGCATGTTCCTTGAGGAACTCTCTGTACAATTCGCCAAATTCATTATCATGAGCGTGCTGCGCCAGGGTGCGACACAGGGCCGTGATGAAGGGAGTTCCGTCCTTGGTAAAGGTGTACGATGTGAAACTTCCGTCGCTGGAGTAGAGGCACATCATGTCCCGTAGAGGCTCCTCCACTCTTGTATCGTGGATGGTGCTGCTTGATCTAGGAGTCTGATCCTTATAATAGCCACAACAAAAGTCGAAGATGAACAGTTTGGGTTTATGTTTTAATCGTGGACATTCTGAATCTTTAAAGAGGCCACAAACCCATTCAGTTGTTAAAAGTTTCATGTCATTAGTTAGAAACTTTTCGTTTCCAACACCATGACTAGAGATGACAAAAACAGCACATCCAACATGGTCGAGGACTTCCATGTCCCTGACACTCGTCAACACTTGCTTGGTCTGGTGTGCCGTCAAGGAGGAGTGTGAGTGTCCAGTGCATCCCATTTTCCCGAAGACGTTTGACAGGTTGTTGACGTCAGAGTGTGAACCCTCGAGGTCCAGGTCGGGACGGTCCTTGAAGGAACTGTAGCTGAGGATACAGACGTATCCTCTGGGGTCTGTGTCCATCTTGTACACGTCGGGGCCTGAAGCCTGGCTTCTTGCTGCCTTCACTCGCAGCCTCAGTGGACCCATCTGGTAAAGTACATCGATAAATTAGTGAATGTAAGTAAACTGTTTATTAAGGAAGAATATAATCATAAGAATATTCCATAGTTAAAAATTAAGTTCAGAAGAGAATGGTAACGAACGTTTACAAAGAATGTTGCTACTTACCGGAAGTTCATTATCAAGGGTTTCACCATTACTGAAGTTGAAACCCATCAGGGCTTTGGTTTCTTTTATGGTTTCAGGTGTTCGTCGCTGAAACATATTAATTTTATTATTTATTAAATTATTCTTGATGAAAAAACTTATCAATTGAAAGTGTGAGCCATAGTGGTGTACAGTGAGGAAAGTCTCACCTGAGGGAGCATGCTGAGGATAGTTTGTCCGTGTAAGGTTAGAGCCAAGTGGCGGGCTGTGGTGACCCTCAGCTCCCGGGCCAGGGCTCCCTCCACCATCCTCCCAGCGTGGTAGTCTGGGTCACCACCAAGACTCAACACCTCTTGTATCCTCCTCTTGTCCCGCCACAAAACTGCCTCAAATAACGGCGCAGCAAGCTGTAGGAAGAACACATTTATGTACTATGTTACACTAATGGATTAACAGATATAGTGTTAGAAAATGCTATTATCAGTTCGAAATCATATCTGTGTAAGTAACAGGTTAGGAAAGCCTCGTGCTGGCTACACCATGTTTACATAGAACCAGAACGGTAAAAATCACTAACCAAGTCCTTGTAAGTTCTGTTGGAGTTGTCTCGCTTGTCATGATTCAGTCCGTCATCAGCCATCAGAATCCTCAAGACCTGAGTGTGGCCCTTAATGGCGGCCAGGTGGGCCGGCGTGCGGCCCTCCTTGTTGACAATGTTGGGGCTGATGAACTTGAGGAGGAGGAGCACCACCTCGGCCTGGTTGTTGGCTGCTGCAGCGTGCAGGAGCGTACACCCAGTCTGGGGTTTGGTCACCACAGGACCCGTGTCATGTATAAGAGCCTCGACCTTGTCTAGGTCACCCATCTCGACAGCTTTGAATATTTCTCCCTGGAAATGAAGGTACACGAACACCTTTATTAAGAACATTATAGCCCGTGGATGTTTACTATCTCACGCTTCTGAAATTGCAACATTATGAGCAGATGCATTAATTATAGTGTACCTTTTTAAGATAGATGTTTGATGCTGAATGGTTTGGTGTTGTCTTCATCAATTTCTTTGTTGACAATCGTGTTTTCATGACGCTTCGCCTCAATTGTGTTTTGGTGGACATGGCTGGTGACAAGTACCCACATCTCTTTGGTGTACTTCTAGTAGCAACACAACATTGTGACGGACCCGTCGATGTTTTCCTTCTTGATTTTTTCAAGGCCTTGTCAAGTTAAGTCTTCGTTAGTATCAGTGAAATTTAGTCTGGTGATAAAACAAACACACACGCAATGGGGGGTAGGGGTAGTGACTCTTACGACAACTGGCTGAGTATGAACAGTTTATGTAAACATCGCTCAATAGAAGTCCTAAAAAGGCGAAGATTAGTTTATCTGGATGTTTTGATAACACAATTTAATGTTAAATTACAAAAAATCCAGCTTTAGATATGAAGAATATACTTAAGAGCATTTGTCGGAGAAATGATGGCTAACATGCGTAATTAAAGGCAATAATGAGAGGCTGGGGACTTTAGTAAACATTATTAGTAGTACAAGAGGCAATCGGTAATTGCATTTCTGAAGCATAAATATGCCCATATCAAAATAATATTCCTCAATGAAACATTTACATATAAAGGAGCGTCCGACTTGATTTATGGTCATTGTAACTTCAACATCTGTATAATTATTATTATTAACCAATTACAATGTGACAAGGATTTGCTCATATTAATAACCACAATAAATTGTAACGTAATACTCACAAGACAGCTGCGATAACTTAAAAGCCCACAGGTAAATTGTATTTATCATATAAACCAAACGTGCAATTGTTTGATAGCCTAATAAGTATATTACCTTTGTGTTGTCATCGGTGTTAGGCTCCAAGTTCTGAAGTGCGGCTACAGCTGTGGCAAGTGCTCTGTTCTGAGGCTTCGATCTGTAACACGTGTAGATACAGTATAATTATTAGTTTGGACAATTGTGTTATATAATCATATTGATGAAGATAACATTAATGAAGGCGTGTTAGCCTTTCCACAGTTTAATTCGTATTAAGAAGTCATTAGCGTTAAAATAATGGATATACAGTATTCAAATGGAAGGAGAGTTACTTATGGGTAAGTAGTATTAAAATGGAGTTAAATATCACAAAAAGGAACACGAAACAATATATATATAGTTTAGTCAGGGAAGACATGTAAATATTAATTCGAAAATAGGAATGTTGATTTTATTAACACAAAGACATGGAATAGCTGAACTGTTTCGAGAGTAGGTTTGCAATGTATATTAGTGAGTTTGGTTGTGTAAATAGGAACTATCTCGTATGGGCGAATAGGCTCTCTGCAGTTCATTACACTCTTTGTTGCGCATTTCAGAATATTTTGATATTCCTTTGTGTTATATTACACGAAAATCCTCGGCAAATCTGATTCATATGAAATCACACGTCTAAAATTTGTTCTTGTATTCATGAATGATATCCATTTGTTTTATTCAAATATTTTGACACAGACGGTACCTTATTTTGATAAGTGCTTCCTCTATTCTTCTCTAATACTTACCTAAACAGTTTCAGGAGTTTAGGATAGAAGGTGGGGCACAATGCTGCCTGTGCATTGTGTGTGTGTGTTTTCACCAGGCTAACCAGAGCTTGGCTAGCCTCAGTGGACACCGTGTCATCGTTGTGCAAGGTGAGGCTACACACTGCTGGTACACACCGCGCCAGATGGGTAAAGTAAGTTGGTGAGCTATTCTCCGCACACAGGACACGCAATAACCACGCTCCTGTTCTTAATTCGTTAATATTCGTGTCATCCAGAATCCTGAAACACGAATACTCTGCTAATATTTTTTTAGGATTAACAAGGAGCACATCTAGGAGACGTTATGTTCTGTTAATAATATTCACGAGAAAGCCAATAATGAATAGGTAGACGAAAGGTAAGTTTCTTATTATGGGGATACAAATGCTTCAAGAATAAAAGTGAAGTTAGGAAGCCGATATGAAGTTTTCTTATTTTTTTTAAATAACACTTGACAATTTCTATTGTTCAGATGCATTCCTAGGAATAACAAACGCGTGGTTGACATTTTATACTACTAGAACAATTAAAAACCTCGATCATAGCTTAGGTGGGGTTCTCAAGTTCGAACGCTTCTGGTTAGGCAATTTTTTTCCGGTGTCAAATCGCGACACGTGGGCTGAGATGGTAGTGTGACTTACCTTAACAGAGGGGTGAAGACATCTTGAGCCAGAACTAAGTTACGGTTAATATGGTTGTCTGCGCCAACATTAGCCAGGGCCCACATGGCTGTGTGGCACACCTCAGAGGACGTGTGTCTCAGGAGGCGCGCGAGGGCGGGTACAGCACCAGCATCCACCACAGCTTGGGTGTGTTCACTGGTGCCGCACGCTATGTTGCACAACACCCACGCTGCTTCGTTCTGCAATACGCCGTACTCTTATAAATATAAAAGCCAATAAAAAATGCACGTGTTCAAGAAACATAAACGTTCCTGCAGGAAGTGCTGGACCAATTGTAATTGATACATGTTGAGCCTGCGAGCTGTTCCAAGCATCATCCTTATAGGTGAAATTATCGCATGACAAGTCTAGCCTCAGTAGAAGAACTTTCGGAATCGACTCCCGGTAAATTCCAGATAAACCAACCCATCACAGGCCTTAATATATGTCGTCCCATAACTTCAGATGCCGAGTACGAGCTCCTTACTACACACACGCACTCCCCTTGCCCCCTACCTACCTACCTATATATGCACATAGAACTCCCCCTCTTAAACTATTTTCGTTATTGGTTGGTGCTGCTGGAAGTACCATTGTTTAGGAACTTCGAGGCGTTAATACTGCTAGGCTAAATTCTGCTGAAAGTCACTGATTTTGCACCACCTACGATGTATAACTAACCAGAGGTAAACTTAGGCCGCAAATTATTCACATACTTCACCATGTAATTGAATGCGAAAAAATCCGAGAATTTAGGGGCCATTTAATATTCAAGAAATGTTCATGTATATATTTAATCCGAAATAACATTCTTCAAAATCCTTGACAAACACCATATGTTTATATATTAATTTTTTTTTTAAATACTGTTGACATAGCTAGCCTACCGAACGTACCGTAATATTAACTAGTTCTGCAGTACAAATATTATTATTGTAACTTGATGACATTTGATACAAATGAAAAGCCTGATACTAATACGTAACAAATGTTAAATTGCCTGGTTTAAAGAACATTGGGGTGCAGTTGAATCTATTCAACTGCACCAGAATTTATTATGTCCAATAGTCTTTCTGCCACTGTTCTGGCACGAGCATGAATAGCTCGTAAGTGCCACCGCCCTGTTTCCTAACTAGTATATACCTAGAACTTTCCTGAATCTAATACTAAGTTGCTAATCTTTATTTCACGTGTTTTCTGGCAATCTCGACAGTTAGAAACTATTCTGTACCTAAAATCATTTTAACAATTATTTGTATCGCAGAAATACTTCAGTTATCAAATCTGACTTTCCATTTTACGCCACAAACACCATAGTTTATATCAATATAAATACGATCATGAGAGTATTTTAACATGCCTGTAATTGCCAGCTGTGATCACTCTGGAGGAGGAGCACAAGTCTTGGGAGAGCGCCAGCCTGCAGGAGGCGCTCCATGAGCTTGTCCTCTGGTCCATGATTCAGGAGGAGCCTCAGCTCGTGTGCGGCCTTCGTCTGCTCTTCAGGACTCGAGCTGAATAGACTCTTCAATATCTGCCCCGTCGCCTCATCACCTCCGGTCAACACCTAAAAGGTACACCAACATGATTTTAGTGATGGCATTGATGAATATATAAGTATAGTTTTATGATAAATGTTAAGGTGATGACTGAGCCGCATATAACCTATGTTGATCACTAAGCACGATATATGCCATACGCACCTGTTGGGGGACGGCGGTACACGGAGACATACTGATCAGAGATCCTACCTGTGGGAACACCAGAAGTTGACATAAGCATTCGGGTTGGGTTGCAGCATTACATAAATATATTAAAGCCAAGGCCGAAGCTATAATGATGGATGAGGTGCTCTACGCTGGCTACATACTTTCACTAATAGTTTCATTGATCCGGGAATACGAGTCCCGTGAAAGTCGACGAAGGAACTTAATACATCGCCACGAACATTTATAAGCTCAATGCATTAACATTTTGTTTGTACCGTCAGTCATTTGCACGAAGTGAATTACATTACACAAGGGCATGGAAGGTTATTTTGCATATGAACGCAATATTCTTATTACCACAGAAAACAAAAGGAATATAGTTAGTGTTGGGCCTAGATCAGTTAAAATACATTTTTAATAAAAACTTACACTTGTATGCTGTTACTGAAGATATCGAGAATAATAAAGTAAAGCTACTGAAAGTAAGATACCAAAAGTATCTTAGTATAGATCTGCAGTACAGTGTGATCGCCACACCAGTCAGCTGCTGAGGGGCGACTGGACGGGACACCTCTCAGAGCCACCTTATATGTGCGGGCCTGAGGGAGGGGGGAGGGCGGCACCAGCCAGCAGCCCGCCAGCTGGAACTTGTCGACAGTGCCGGGAGCTGCTACACGCGCGGACATGTGGTACTGTGACGTATACGAAGCTCGCATGCACGCGCGCGCGTGATGCTGATAAGCGAGATTGGCTAACATCAGAACATCCTTCAGGGACCTGTGTAAGGAATCATTCAGAACCTTGTACACAGTATATGTAAGACCAATCCTGGAGTATACGGCCCCAGCATGGAGTCCGTACCTTAGTCAAGCGCAGGACTAAGCTGTAAAAAGTTCAAAGGTATACCACTAGGCTAGTCCCAGAACTAAAAGACATGAGTTACGAGGAAAAGGCTGCATGAAATGCACCTAACGTCGCTGGAAAATAGGAGAGTTCGGGGAGATATGATCACTACCTTCAAAATTCTTAGAGGAATCGACAGGGTAGATTAAGATAAACTTTTTAACACGGGGAGTACTCGAACAAGGGGACACGGGTGGAAACTGAGTACCCAAATGAGCTACAGGGACGTTATAAAGAACTTTTTCAGTATCAGATTAGTTAACAGTTGGAATACATTAGGCAGTGATGTAGTGGAAGCAGACTCCATACAGTTTCAAATGTAGATATGATAGAGCTCAGTAGGCTCGGGAACCTGTACATCAGTTGATTGACAATAGAGAGGCGGGACGAAAAAGCCAGAGCTCAGCCCTCGCAAGCACCAGTAGGTGAGTACAACTACGTGAATACCCACACCCGTGCGCACTCACTCCCTCACTCACTGTATTTGTGGTCGGTCTCAAGCCCATTGATGATGTGACGATGTGCATTGAATTTTGTAACTAGCTCGTCAAGATTGTAACTTGCTTAGATAAATGAATGTTGGGGTTCAGTCCCAGAGCCAATTATGTGCCTCTGAAACCCTTTCCACTACTGCCCAGTAATTTTCAGTTTGAGTAATTAATTCTATAAAAAGGTTGTGGTGGTTAGTTTAGTTCATTAATATGTGCCCTATTTAGCTAAGCAAGTTACATCCTTGATAAGCTAGTGAGAGTTTCATCATGTATACCAAGAACTGTTTATAACACCGGCTTAGGAGCTAGTGGTTTGCCCAAGCATTGTAATAGCATTTAAAGCATTATTTTCGGTAACAATCACTGACGTTTAATACGGTAAGTTTCTTAATTGCTCACATTAATTATAGAATCGTTGTGTAGCCCAATATCCAAGCTAGACGAGTTCCCTGAATTCGTTTTATATTTTGTAAAGACTCCAAGGAATTCCCTCAGGCAACTAGAACAATCAGAACTAGTTGAAGCATATAGCTGACTGTAATACGCAGGGAACGTCATTGAGTAATTGACATTTTCACGGGGGTCGGTGAAACCTGTTTACCTTACCGACATCCCGGCCTAACCCAACGATCGATCCAGCGGTCCCAGGATTCAGCCTGCTACAGCTGACTAATTCCGAGGTGCATATTTAATGCTAGGTGAACAAAAGCGTTAGATGAAAAGAAACTTGCCCAGACGGTTGTCTTGCCGCAGGAACCGAACCCCGGAGTTATGGGCTGTGAACCACAGTCTTGATAACTCGGGCCTGTCTCCGTGCTGGCGATAGTCTGGTTACAACTCTGACATACAGACGAGGCTGAGGCACCTTAAGGCCCAGGAATCTGAAGCTGGAGGCTGGGTTAAATTACAGTAATAATAATAATAATAATTTATTTAGGAAAAGTACGTACATAGTTGCAGAGTTACAGTACAAACATTGTTTGATTTAGAGATAGAGGTAGTACATACAGTACCTAAAGCCACTAGTGCGCATAGCGTTTCGGGCTTCATGGAAGTGTTTTTTTTTGTTTGCCTTTAGTTATTTTATTATGCACCCCATACCCAACATGTAAGCGGCGTGAGCTATCATAGCTGCATTAAACAAGCAGTTTCGCATCACCCTTTGGATTGACGTAAATTAATTGTTTGAAAATTTGGTTTCAAGTTTTTTACAATTGGCTATAATTTAGTCTAACCCATTCCTCTACAACTGTTTTGAGTTGCATCCTGAAGGTGGTTAGTAGTTGGCTTAGAAGGGCCTCGATAAGCCTGAGTACAAGCTTCCAGTCGCCTACACTGGGATTTAAAAATGAATGCATTCAAAATATTCCATAGTTTGCCTTAGAGAAGTGTAGTTTTCTATGGTCAGAGAAAGAAAACGATATAGTCCCTGTTGAGAGGAACTAATGTATTTACGAGACAGGAAGCCAGAGTATATTCATACACGTAAAGCTTGTATCGAGGTCCCCCCCCCCCAAGGTCGAATTACTGACCCAGGATGCAACACCACAACAAGCTGACTAGCTTCAGAGTAATTACCTAAGTGTAGTTACAGGATGAGAGCTACGCTCGTGGCGTCCCGTCTTCCCAACACTCTTTGTCATATAACGCTTTGAAACTACTGACGGTCTTGGCCTCAACCACCTTCTCACCTAACTTGTTCCAACCGTCTACCACTCTCTTTGCGAAAGTGAATTTTCTTATTTCTTCGGCATCTGTGTTTAGCTACCTAGTTAATATTGCTAGGGTGAACAGCAACATTACGTGAAAGGAAATATGCCCAACCATTTCTGTCTCGTCCGGGTTTCGAACCAGAATTCTTGATTGTGCGTCGGGAACGAACCCGACTGTACTATCGGGACCCTCAAAATGTAGATATATAGTGAGGCTTAAGACTTACACAGGTATTCTAAAATACAGACTCGGTCGTTAGTCGTGCTCGGAACAATATGATGATCTGTTCGGGAGTAGGAATTGTAGGAACACTTGGGGAATGGCGGCATGATGTGTGTATTTATAGGCGGCTAGTTAGACATTGGCAGTTTACGGGCTATTCATGTCCGTGCCACCTCTTGCGTGGCTTAATTTCTATCAAATAATCAATCAATCAATCATTGACAGTGTAGTGCAGCTACACACGCGCAGGTGTCAACTATCTGGTGCCAGAATGAGGGTTGTTGTTATAGATTCAGCTACTCGGAAGAAGTTCCAAGTAGCACGGGCTATGGTGAGCCCGTAACTTACCTGGCACAGGAGCGGGGCAAGAAGCACGGGCTATGGTGAGCCCGTAACTTACCTGGCACAGGAGCGGGGCAAGAAGCACGGGCTATGGTGAGCCCGTAACTTACCTGGCACAGGAGCGGGGCAAGAAGCACGGGCTATGGTTAGCCTCGTGGACGGGAGATGTCTCCCGTCTGCAGAATGAGGCTCTGGAGATACCTAAGTATCTCACTCTTTATTGTTTTATGAGGTGTGTTCTTGTACAGTAAAACAAATGAGGGTTGACGTAACTTTATTGAGTTAAATAAAGACGTACATTCATATAATAAAATAACTGGCTTGACAGTTAATTGTTGCTTAAAGCAAACTACAGCCTAAATCTGGATATAATAATAATAATAATAATACAGTAGTTTATTCAGATAAAACTACACATATACAAAATTATTTACATACAGACTGTTGGATTTCTAGATAGAGCCGTGCCACCTCTTGGGTGGCTTAATCAATCAATCAATCGCTAATACGCACAGCGTTTTGGGTAAACAAGGTCAGACCTGGAAACGAGCCAGGGATGATCCCATGATAAAGCATTAACCTGAAGTATGTGTGAATATTCAAATTCAAAATTTTATTCAGGTAAAATTACATACATAGATGATGAGTTACAAACATTATGTTGGATTTATAAATAGAGCTAGTACATATACAGTACCGAAAGCCACTAATACGCACATAGCGTTTCGGGCAATATGGGATCTCTGTGTCTCTGGAAAGATATACACACACGGTACATACAGTTTATATAAATTGAAGAAATCATTCATTACATGCATACAGGTACATAATGTTGAGAATGAAGTTCTCACCTCTATGGTCACAATAATTATTGTTGTTACAAGTTCAACTATGTTTATTGAGACAAGAAAGAAATACGTCTCAAAGGGATAGAATACCTTAGGCTATTCCTTCCCCCCCTTCCCCCCCCCTCTTTGTTGTTACTTACTGTAGAGCGCAGGTGTTGTGTCTGACGCAGCACGTCAGGGTATTAGTATCAACATACCTGCGGTCTTATAGTAACTGTTGTCGCTATTGCAATCCCTCTGAAGCTTCAACTGGAAACTTTAAATTCCACACAAGACTGCCTGAGCCAGTTGTTCACTCAATCTTGAACTCCGCGTGAAGTGTTGCAAACTATCCAGTTGTTAAACTGATCAAGCAGATTGTGTGCGTGGCAGTAACAGTCTAGACCTGATATCTTGCCTGCCTTGACAGCGGATGTGAGGACTAAATATTTCATACAAGAGATCACTTGGGCTCTCACGTGAGCTTTTGGGGTGGACGGTAGAGCGACGGTCTCGCTTCATGCAGGTCGGCGTTCAATGCCCGATCGTCCAAGTGGTTGGGCACCATTCCTTCCCAACCGTCCTATCCCAAATCCTTATCCTGACCTCTTCCAAGTGCTATATAGTCGTAATGGCTTGGCGCTTTCCCCCTGATAATTCCATTCCATTCTCACGTGAGCTGTCACTCTTGTGGCGTCTCCTGGTCTGAATTCTGTTGCATTCCTGTTGTTGGAGACAGGAACCTGTCCGCAGGCTTATCGATATCTCCCCAAGGTCAACTACTGACCTCCTTCAGGATGCAACTCCACAACAATTGTTGATGTACCAGATACCTATTTACCGCTTGGAGAACAGGGGCATCAGGTGAAAGAAAACGTGCTCAACCGTTTCTTTCCCGCCTGGAGATTGAACTCGCTTCCCTCTGTTGCGAGTTGAGAACGTAGACCACTGTGCTCATTATCCAACCTCTCATTTTCCTGATTGTTGTCGTTTCCTTTATAAATCTTCAGACATTATTGTTCCAAGAACTTTGATCTTTTTTTAAAGGTCTGTACAAGGCCTTCATTACACCTTGATTAAGGCAGCGTCTGGGATGCTCTCGGAGGCAGGTTCGAATCCTCGTCACGGCCCTTATGGATTTGTTCAAGGCTTTCACATGACTCGACGAGTTAGGCTCGTGTAATTTATAAGGTGTTTAAAAATATTTATATACTGTAATTATATTCCAATTTATAATAATTTAATATTTGTTTTTATCAGTTTAAACATTATATTTGTCAGTATTACAATTTCTGAGGATATGAGAGATCATGAAATTGTTGAATAATTATCGTTCAAATAATTCACGTTTCACAAGTATTCAACCTTTTCTGGTAATGTAGGCGTGTTTATTGTAAGGTTCGTGGCTTAGAGGGATCCGTTACAGGTGTCACTGTTAGTGCCACTGTTAGTGCCACACACAGCACTAAAACATATATACAGTGAAATAAATGTTAATCTTTTAATCGAAACATTGAAACGTGTATATAACGATGTAGCAAGCAGGATCCGGTGACACAATAGTTTCTGTGGAGTGTTGTCCCCCGAGCCCATACCAGCACCATGTACCAGGCACAGTGTAGTAACAAGCCCCGGGTGTTACTGGGTGTAGTAACAACCCCGGGGTGTTACCGGGTGTTGTCACATGATGCCATACCTCACTCACTCAGCCCACTTGGTAAGGTTTCTGTAAACAACTCAACTTGACTAGTCCTTTCCACTGGAAATCTTGTCGATTTCGTTAACAACTAAATTGTTGATGTTCTATCCCCTGTCGCATTGGGCCGATGGCTGGAGATCTTGACAAGTTAGAGGTACACAGTTGTAATGGAAAATGTGAGTGAAGAGGGAAATGCCAACACTGCTGAGACATTTAATATACAGGGTTGAAGTAGAATTGTTTGACGAAGCTGAAGTTCCGGAGCTGCGGTGCCCCGGCGAGGGAGGTCCTGGTGCACTCCTTGAGGAACTGTCTGTACAACTCGCCAAGTTCCTTGCCTTGAGCGTGCTGCGCCAGGGTGCGACACAGGGCCGTGATGAAGGGAGTTCCGTCATCAGTAAAGGTGTACGATGTGAAACTTCCGTCATTGGAGTAGAGGCACATCATGTCCCGTAGAGGCTCCTCCACTCTCGTATATTTGGCAGTGTTGCATGGTCTAGGAGTCTGGTCCTTATAATAACCACAACAAAAGTCGAAGATGAACAGCTTGGGTTTATGTTTTAATCGTGGACATTCTGAATCTTTAAAGAGGCCACAAACCCATTCGGTTGTTAAAAGTTTCATGTCATTAGTTAGAAACTTTTCGTTTCCAACACCATGACTAGAGATGACAAAAACAGCACATCCAACATGGTCGAGGACTTCCATGTCCCTGACACTCGTCAACACTTGCTTGGTCTGGTGTGCCGTCAAGGAGGAGTGTGAGTGTCCAGTGTATCCCATTTTCCCGAAGACGTTTGACAGGTTGTTGACGTCAGAGTGTGAACCCTCGAGGTCCAGGTCGGGGCGGTCCTTGAAGGAACTGTAGCTGAGGATACAGACGTATCCCCGGGGGTCTGTGTCCATCTTGTACACGTCGGGGCCTGAAGCCTGGCCGGTTCTGGGATTCATCATAAGTCTTGGTATCTGAAAAACATAAATGGTTACTAATGATTACAAAAACCACTTCGTCCACATAGAACATAGAAATGAATCGTCGATTCAATTCTATGAATTGGACGACGTCGTCGTCCTTTCACTTTCTAGTGTGTGGTCTGGTCAAACTACATCAGCCACGTTATTGTGACTCATCGCCTGCATAATGTTTTCCATGATAAAAAAAGACATATTAAGGGGTAGCAACGTTTCATTCTCTTATCACTGCCCCCTTGGTTCATGTTAACACATTTCCTGGGATAATGAAGCGAACTGTCACCAATGACACACAACAACTGTGTTCAACACAGAACTTTGGTAAACACATTGAAAGGTTCAAACAGCCTGGTTGACCAGACCAGCAACCTGCAGGAGGCTTGGTCAAAGAGCGGGCCGCGGGACGTTAGTGATCCTAGATACATACACTTATTGACTTGTAAATAACCTCTGCACACTTGACACTTCCATATAAGCTCTTATGAAGTACGTGAGGTTTAGTTTTTTGTTTAAGTTTATAAGTACACGGCATTGTGGTGACAATGTGTTTCAACCACACTTGGGATATTAATGAATAACAGTAAACGGATGTGTTTCTTACCAATTGGTCTCTGGCTGGATGCAGTTCACACGAGGTCAGAGACAAACTAAGATTAGTGTCTTCTGTGGCTTTCTCTGGGGGTCGCTCCTGTAACATAGAAACAACACATTTAAGACACATAAGGGACAATATTTTATCTGCGTATTTGAGATGTCAATAGACATCCTCGAGACGTGTTCAGTAACAGCATCTGCTCACTGATGTTCTCATTGATGTGAGGACAAGTTTCCCCCATTAACGTGAGGACGTGTTGCTACTGTTGACTCTATAATTGATGAATGATGATGTATTACAGTATGGCAAAAAGCCACGTTCCCCTCGTACGAAAGACTTACCTTAGCGAATAAGCGGATGATGGGTTCCTGGTTCAGTGTAAGGGCTAGATGGCGAGCCGTGACGACCTGTAGCTCCTCCTCCAGCATTCCCTCGACCAGTGACCCCGCGTGATAGTCTGGGTCAACACCAAGCTTCAACAGCTCTTGTACTCTGCTTCGATTGTTTCCCAACACTGCCTCAAACAGAGGCGCAGAAAGCTGGAAAAAATATAAGCAGTAAAAATATTAATCCCAGGCCATACGACAACTATACTGAAGTTGCACGATATATTAAAGAAAAGATCGACAGCTTACATTATACTCTTGTGTTGCACTTACCAAGTCCTTGTAAGTTCTGTTGGAGTTGTCTCGCTTGTCGTGGTTCAGTCCGTCATCAGCCATCAGAATCCTCAAGACCTGAGTGTGGCCCTTAATGGCGGCCAGGTGGGCCGGGGTGCGGCCCTCCTTGTTGACAATGTTGGGGTTAATGAGCTTGAGGAGGAAGAGCACCACATCTAACTGATTGGAGGCGGCTGCAACATGGAGCAGAGTACAGTCCGTGTTGTCCCTCCTGATGGCTGGGCCGGTGTCCTGGATCAGCTCCCTCACTCGTTGTGTCTTCCCTTCCTCTATTGCTTCAAACACTTCCATCTGTGTGTTACAAATATATATATATATTATGAATTTATATTAAATGTATATATCACAGATGTATGGATAGAGTGTGTAAACATGGACAATGAAATCACAACGGCTTCAATAATTTCTCTGTTTTATACTAATTATTTTACTTTCCCCTGATTATCACGTCTTAAATCATTGAATTTGATTCGCCTGATGCAATGCGTTTATTATTGGATGAGATACGTGAGAGAAATTCGTACCCGCTTGTCAGCAACATGGAGGAGGTTGTGATTGGGAGACCTGGCCAACAGTCTGCGCGCGGCGGCTCGCGTCATCACGGAGTTGCGCTGCGCCCTGCTCTGCGTCTCTCTTGGTGGCGTCAACATGAATTCGTGAATTTTTGCCAGTAGAGCAGCTGTATCGACCGTTGCGTGGATTCTGATTTTTTTCTTTATATGGCATGCAGAATGGGAGTCTTCTGGAGATAGGTTTCTTTTGACACTTAATGATAGCATAGGACTACCATCGTCATTCTCCCGCTGGGATAGCATAGGACTACCATAGTCATTCTCCCGCTGGGATAGCATAGGACTACCATAGTCATTCTCCCGCTGGGATAGCATGGGATTACCATCGACATTCTCCGGGTGGGATAGCATGGGATTACCATCGACATTCTCCAGGTGGGATAGCATGGGACTACCATAGTCATTCTCCCGCTGGGATAGCATGGGACTACCATAGTCATTCTCCCGCTGGGATAACATGGGACTGCCAACATCATATTTGGAGTGGAAGAAATCGGATTCACTAAGTTGGGGAGAACACATTTTCTTTGATGGTTGGTGTTCAGAGTCGAATTCAGAACTGGAGCGTCTTTTTCTTATGGTCGGAGACGCCACACTAGTTATAGACAAGTCAATATATACTTCACTGACATTATCAACAGGGAATGATTTCATATATACTTTCTTTGTTGGTAAACCCAAGAGTGATGGAGATGGGTTGCTGGTTTTTTCCAATAATGGGCTTTTGACAATCGCCAGAGGCTGTAAAGATACAGTAGTTGGTGATGGGGTCCTTGATCTTTCCAGTGTTGGTGATGGGGTCCTTGATCTTTCCAGTGTTGGTGATGGGCTCCTTGATCTTTCCAGTGTTGGTGATGGGCTCCTTGATCTTTCCAGTGTTGGTGATGGGGTCCTTGATCTTTCCAGTGTTGGTGATGGGGTCCTGGACCTTTCCAGTGTTGGTGATGGGCTCCTGGACCTTTCCAGTGTTGGTGATGGGCTCCTTGATCTTTCCAGTGTTGGTGATGGGCTCCTTGATCTTTCCAGTGTTGGTGATGGGCTCCTTGATCTTTCCAGTGTTGGTGATGGGCTCCTTGATCTTTCCAGTGTTGGTGATGGGCTCCTTGATCTTTCCAGTGTTGGTGATGGGCTCCTTGATCTTTCCAGTGTTGGTGATGGGCTCCTAGGTCTTTCCAGTGTTGGTGATGGGCTCCTTGATCTTTCCAGTGTTGGTGATGGGCTCCTTGATCTTTCCAGTGTTGGTGATGGGCTCCTTGATCTTTCCAGTGTTGGTGATGGGCTCCTTGATCTTTCCAGTGTTGGTGATGGGCTCCTTGATCTTTCCAGTGTTGGTGATGGGCTCCTTGATCTTTCCAGTGTTGGTGATGGGCTCCTTGATCTTTCCAGTGTTGGTGATGGGCTCCTAGGTCTTTCCAGTGTTGGTGATGGGCTCCTTGATCTTTCCAGTGTTGGTGATGGGCTCCTTGATCTTTCCAGTGTTGGTGATGGGCTCCTTGATCTTTCCAGTGTTGGTGATGGGCTCCTTGATCTTTCCAGTGTTGGTGATGGGCTCCTTGATCTTTCCAGTGTTGGTGATGGGCTCCTTGATCTTTCCAGTGTTGGTGATGGGCTCCTTGATCTTTCCAGTGTTGGTGATGGGGTCCTGGACCTTTCCATTGTTGGTGATGGGGTCCTGGACCTTTCCAGTGTTGGTGATGGACTCCTGGACCTTTCCAGTGTTGGTAATGGGGTCCTGGACCTTTCCAGTGTTGGTGATGGACTCCTGGACCTTTCCAGTGTTGATGGGCTCCTAGGTCTTTCCAGTGTTGGTGATGGGCTCCTAGGTCTTTCCAGTGTTGGTGATGGGCTCCTTGATCTTTCCAGTGTTGGTGATGGGGTCCTGGACCTTTCCAGTGTTGGTGATGGGGTCCTGGACCTTTCCAGTGTTGGTGATGGACTCCTGGACCTTTCCAGTGTTGATGGGCTCCTAGGTCTTTCCAGTGTTGGTGATGGGCTCCTAGGTCTTTCCAGTGTTGGTGATGGGCTCCTTGATCTTTCCAGTGTTGGTGATGGGCTCCTTGATCTTTCCAGTGTTGGTGATGGGGTCCTGGACCTTTCCAGTGTTGGTGATGGACTCCTGGACCTTCCCAGTGTTGGTGATGGACTCCTGGACCTTTCCAGTGTTGGTGATGGACTCCTGGACCTTTCCAGTGTTGGTGATGGACTCCTGGACCTTTCCAGTGTTGGTGATGGGCTCCTAGGTCTTTCCAGTGTTGGTGATGGACTCCTAGGTCTTTCCAGTGTTGGTGATGGACTCCTAGGTCTTTCCAGTGTTGGTGATGGACTCCTGGACCTTTCCAGTGTTGGTGATGGACTCCTGGACCTTTCCAGTGCTGGTGATGAACTCCTGGACCTTTCCAGTGTTGGTGATGGGGTCCTGGACCTTTCCAATGTTGGTGATGGGGTCCTGGACCTTTCCAGTGTTGGTGATGAACTCCTGGACCTGTCCAGTGTTGGTGATGGGCTCCTTGATCTGTCCAGTGTTGGTGATGGGCTCCTGGACCTTTCCAGTGTTGGTGATGGACTCCTGGACCTTTCCAGTGTTGGTGATGGGGTCCTGGACCTTTCCAGTGTTGGTGATGGGGTCCTGGACCTTTCCAGTGTTGGTGATGGACTCCTGGACCTTTCCAGTGTTGGTGATGGACTCCTGGACCTGTCGAGTGTTGGTGATGGACTCCTGGACCTTTCCAGTGTTGGTGATGGGGTCCTGGACCTTTCCAGTGTTGGTGATGGGGTCCTGGACCTTTCCAGTGTTGGTGATGGGCTCCTTGATCTTTCCAGTGTTGGTGATGGGCTCCTAGGTCTTTCCAGTGTTGGTGATGAACTCCTGGACCTTTCCAGTGTTGGTGATGAACTCCTGGACCTTTCCAGTGTTGGTGATGGGGTCCTGGACTTTTCCAGTGTTGGTGATGGGCTCCTTGATCTGTCCAGTGTTGGTGATGGGCTCCTTGATCTGTCCAGTGTTGGTGATGGGCTCCTGGACCTTTCCAGTGTTGGTGATGGACTCCTGGACCTTTCCAGTGTTGGTGATGGGCTCCTTGATCTGTCCAGTGTTGGTGATGGGCTCCTGGACCTTTCCAGTGTTGGTGATGGACTCCTGGACCTTTCCAGTGTTGGTGATGGGGTCCTGGACCTTTCCAGTGTTGGTGATGGACTCCTGGACCTTTCCAGTGTTGGTGTTGGGCTCCTTGATCTGTCCAGTGTTGGTGATGGGCTTCTTGATCTGTCCAGTGTTGGTGATGGGCTCCTGGTACTTTCCAGTGTTGGTGATGGGGTCCTGGACCTTTCCAGTGTTGGTGATGGGGTCCTGGACCTTTCCAGTGTTGTTGATGGGGTCCTGGACCTTTCCAGTGTTGGTGATGGGGTCCTGGACCTTTCCAGTGTTGTTGATGGGGTCCTGGACCTTTCCAGTGTTGGTGATGGGCTCCTGGACCTTTCCAGTGTTGGTGATGGGGTCCTGGACCATTCTGGTGTTGGCCTTCGGGACCCTCGTGTTGGTAAAGGAACATTATCAGTTAAAGGGTGTCCCATATTCAGTAAAGAGGATATTTTAGGGAATGATTTCCCGACGTCCCCCTGATTAGGCACACACTCACCAGTGACAAGGTCACCGCTGGATCTCTCTCCTCTTGCACTCACGACTGTCATATTTACTGGTGGTGAACGTGAGCTCTCACTTCCTGGCTCATATTCCGTGGATAGCCCGCCTGTACTTCTCATTAATACATCCCCTGCAGTCATGTGTGTGTGTGGAGTACATGTATGAATATGTTGAATATTGGCATGCAAAGGGTTAAGTGTTGTCAACTGGCTTATTGAGTCTTCGTTTGCCACCATTGCTGTTGTGGAACATGGATTATATTCTTCGTTTCTTGAGAGTGAGGAATCTTCTCCTAGAGGAGATAAACGTTCCAGTCTGTCAGTATCTGTATCTGTTATTTTAGGAGAGTTTACCAAGTCATTTTCTATTAACTGTTCAGGTGCCTCTAGAGAAAATGAACAGTTGGACCATCCCATCTTCGGTAACTGCAACAATGTATCTACTGAACACTGACTGTTAAAACTCTCGTCTGCCGCAGTGTGAAAAAATGGGTCTAATTCTGACAAGCTTCCAAAATGTCCACTTACACCATCCTCCACCGGGGCTGTCCTCCTGGACGCTTCATCGGTCTCAGCTGGACAAACCCCAAGAAAAGGGGAGAGGCTCCTTTCTGGGGAGTTACTGGTGGTAGCCGACTGGTCAGACGTGGGCAGTGCAGGGCACTTACCACGCGACGCTTTGCTTGTCAACTGAGGAAACTCCTCCTCTGAGTCGCTGTCGAGCGCCTCACAAGGACACTGGTTAAGAGTTCTGTTAGCTCGTGCCCGTGGGTAACCTAACCTTTCACCACATGGGGTTCGGGTAGAGGTTTGCAATGCGGGCCTATTGGCTGAAAATGAACGCCTCGGTCTTGTATCGTTCTTCCATCTGTAAAACTCATTCTGCAGAGACAACCACTTAGGCGTTCTTCTCCTGCGTCTACGGGAACGCCGCCGCCTACGTTTGGTCCTCCATGTAGGGACAGTCAGCTTTGATGGGCTCCAAGACCATCTGGTTTCTAATTTAATCCTGTATGCTAGATTCCAAAACCATTCATCTGCCATCGTGTTGGTTGGCAAGAATGGTGGTGAGGGACTCCAGGACCATTCATCTGCCATCGTGTTTGATGGCAAAGGTGGTGTAGAATGACTCCAGGACCATTCCTCTCTGATAGTGTTGGCTACCATGGTTGCCGAAGGACTCCAGGACCATTCATCTCTGATAGTGTTGGCTACCATGGTAGCCGAGGGACTCCAGGACCATTCATCTCTGATAGTGTTGGGTGCCATGGTTGCTGGTGATGGACTCCAGGACCAGCCGTATTGTGCTTCCGAGCACTGCATAGGGCTCCGAGCCCAAGGACTCGGGAACCTCGAATCAAAATTCGGCGAAGATTCTCTTGGGTGCAGGTGGTAGTGTCCACGACGCTGTTGACACCACTCCGCACTCGCCTGAGAGAGAGGGAGTGTGAACATGAGACAGACTGCGTCACATGGTAATTAGTTATACTCAATATAACGTAATCGTTGAGAGACATTCCGACCAGGAGTGCAGTCCGGCTAGGCCATCGTGACATGGGCACTCTTCCTCGACCTTGATTACCTGAGCTTCACCGATCATAAGCCACAAGGCGAGCTGAGACCAGACCACACCAAGGTTTAGTTATTCCTATATTTATCACTCTACTACACACAAGCCTCTCACAAAGGAATAGTAAAAAGCAGTAAACAACCCTTCTGTCAACATCATTAAATCCCGCACATTTAACTATAACATTTTTTTTATTTTTTGTTCCTAGGTAGTGTTATTCTCCAGTTGCTGTTGCCTCCCAAGTACCTCCCTCAAACTTTGCTCTGACCTTTGTCTCAAGACAGCTTAGGGAAGACGCCTTGAAGGTAGCTGAAGGCGGGCGACTCCTTACCTAGAGCTGTGACACGTTGTTTCATAAGTCACCCCCAGCCTTCATGGACCTTCAAGACGTCTTCCCTTAGCTGTTTGAAGGTCAATGGTCAAAGGAGTTTGAGGGAAATAATATACATTTTCTATTTTCTAAACAATTAGAAAATTGCACTTGCTCTCCTGGGACAAAAGCCGTGAAGCGTTACACACAGAAATCACAATAGCGTGATGCATCAAATGAACAAATCCACAAGGGCCGTGACGAGAATTCGAACCTGTGTCCTAGAGCTCTCGGACGTAAGTTCGAATCCGCGTCACGGCCCTTATGGATTTGTTCCGTGTAGCGTTATTGTCCCGTTGAATGACAGAAAATGTTTACCCGTTTTAAGAGATTGCTGAACCTGCTGTTATGAAAAGTAGCGAGTGATGGTGAGGAAGTACACAAGGGGTTAAGATGTGCCCATGACCGCGTCACTAAAGAGGTCAGGTGAAGGCCACAGACCGAATATTAACATTACCTCACACAGACAACACCACGTAGGTGTGTTAGTCATATTAATAATTTCTATTATTAGGAATCAATCTTAATTTTACCAATTGTCAGTATAGTAAGATAAGTGCGGTGTTACTGTGAGTGTGTTGAGGGTGTGAGGGACGCAACACTTGGGCTCACCCACCTGGTTAGTCTCCGTGGGTCGGTAAGACATCGTCTCCTTCAACACAGCCTCCTGTAAAGCACATGAAGGATTAAACTCTACATACTGAATCAATTGTATTCCCTATTACCAAACAATATGTATTTATACAGCTTTCTGAAATGTAAACAATGTCATTCATTAGACGTAGTATATGGGAAGGTTGGGTGTAGGTGAGAGTGGCCTTGGCCTACCCTCCCCCACACCCCCAGGACCCCTCTAATGTCTCTCATTTGCATTATCCACATCTCTTCCACACCTTATTGCCACACTGTACGCATCTCTGCTCCTTCCTACGCCCACATTCGTCATAACTGTAGACTTTTCACACCAGGTGTATCACTGTGTACCGCCCTCTTGTCCTTAGATCTCCTGGCAGCAGGACTCGTGAACACACACCTGCTGATGCAGCGCTGTAGCCTGAACCAGGTGCACCACCCACCTTCCTGGTGAAAGTGCACAATACAGGAATGTGTGCGTGTGCACTCACAGCATAAATAATGCACCAAAGTTGCATACAGTAAAGCCGTTATTCTAATAGTGTAATTATGAACTAAAACTCCGCAAGTGGCTGACTAATAACAAACTCTTAACTTTGAAATGACATGGTGCATATTATTTGGAAATAAATCCACCAAACACATTTACAAAATATAAATGACCATATTGTCATATAGCTACCTTTGGTTACATTATATATAACTGTAAACATACGCTCCAAAATCTGTCACAATGTAACTTGCTTTGCACTCATATATCCATATCTCGCCTACTGTATCTGCGCTTGGTAATCTACGACACAAAACTGCCTCGCATGCTATTACTCGACACAAATCTCTTTTAGGACAATAGCAAACTCCAATTCCAGACAGCATGTCATATCTTTACTTTAATCTTTAATCAAGCCAAGTATAAAAAGCACTGCACACACACATTCTCAAGTACACGCTATATTTTAAAAACTCTAAAAATAAGTGCCAGCACCATCAACACGTTTTAAGGGGTTGCAACACCAGCCTGTCCTTTACTGCGTTCACAACGCCACTAAAATTATGTACTAAATTGCCAGGCTGGCCTCTGGCCTAGGACCCATGAATAGAAAACAGGACATCACGTTAGTTTTACGAGCTACTGTGATTTTGTAGTAAATAATTTTTTGGCCTTAGGGGATTTATACGTCAGAATGCAATGTACTATTCGAGAGGACGGGTTGGTAACCCCGGACACACCTCACAAGATTTGATATTCAGAAAGTCCGACTCAACCCAAGCAGAAATACCATGCAAATAAAGGGCTGAATAGCTGAAAGACTTCCCAAATGCATTAGTATTTAGTACTTCCATTTTAACCAATTTAAAGGAGAAATAAATGCCTAATTGTCACTATGCAGTCATTTATATTCAACCACAACAGTGCCTTCATCCTAAATAAGACACTTGTATTGTTATTTTTAGCTTTAAAATATAGTAATACACTTGTAATAATTATCCCAATTTAAAACCATATAATTATCATTATATTAATATTACAAAGGCTCACCTACCTAGTTAGTGACACACATGGCGATGGGTAAAATGACCGGTTCCAGTTTCTTCCTTCAAGGCCTTCAACGAATAGTAATACCAACGTATTTACACCAACAAACATGATTTTTTTCACAATACGAAATAAATCCAGTGTACGATTTTTCAGTTTGGTGTTGGCTTTAAGACCTAATCAACCGCGGGAGGGTAATTAAGACCACAAGGAGTTTATACTGACAATCCACAAGTATTCTGATGGCAAATTAAAATGTACTAGTTAACTACAAATAACATATTTGTAGAATATAAAACATTGGGGTTAAGTTTCTGAATCGATTTTATGGCTGTGATAAACTATTACACTATTGAAACTAACAACATTAGCCCTGTGTACATTCTTAGGAAAAAGAGGTAAACTTGTCAGTGTATGTATCCGTGTCGCTACTGGTGGATATATTGCGATATATACACGTATACCGATGACTTAACCCATTACGTCATGTTCCCGCATAAGAGAACTTCCCCGTCACTGGGAGTGGGCGGTGTGTGGGCGGCAGCTGTGGACGGTTACCGACACGACTGTTGTGGCCTGCAGCTGGCGATCTATGGGGGCGGCCGGGCCAATAATCATGGCCGGAATGCTTATATCTATCATGGCTTTTGTTTATCCGGATCCGGAGAAGCGATCGGTGACCGGGTAATATCAACTTTCTTTTTTGCATCTTCTCAGGGTCAGTGAGCGCTATTAGGCTGCGTTAGCCTAGATTATGCTAAGCTAGGTTAGGTTGCGTTAGCTCGGATTGTGTTAACGTAGGTTAGGTTGTGGTAGGAGAGGCTGCGCAAGGTTTGGTCAGGTTAAGATTGCGTAGTTCGATTACCGTTAGTAAACAGAACTTGCCAGCTAGCAGTGTTACTTGAGACATGGCTAGGGATTGTACCCCCGTGTCTGAGAGGTCAGGTGGTACTGGCGGGGGTTCTATGTCAGATTAGGGGCCTTTACATTACACAATGACGTAACACCACGCACGAGGATACTATAACGTAACAACACAATAGTGACGTTGGTAGAGGGTGGGTGGATGTGGAGCAAAGCGGTCTTCTGATTAACCTCCCGCCATTTTAGCACCTTTGCTAACTCATTTGTTTACTTTTTGGTCGTTACGGAGAGTTTCACATATTTTAGTTAACCTTAATTTTTGCTGAACCGTTAGCAGTTGATCATAATTTTTGGTTAAAGTTTGATTTGACCCATATTTCTCAAATCGGCTTCCTTGAAGCTCTCTAAATCATCTATACTAATTTCTCGATTAATTTCAGTTAACTTAATTTTCCATACTCAATGCCTGCTTTAGGTTCAAATTCCTGACGTCTATAGGCTTGGTTTTTGTAAAGTCACTGTGCATTACCTTAGTCGTGGCAAAGAATGTTGTTACCCAGCCTATTGCAGGATCTGTTCAGCATTTGCACTATAAACATCTTGACCACAACATACATTACTTATTTAACTATTCATAATAAATAAAATTGTTCCCCACCTTAGCTAATTCTGGCACCGTTGTAAACAACTTTCCAGAAATTCCTCTTCTCTTTTTTGTTACAGAATCACTATAACTAGTCTCCAGTTAGACTACATGTTGTGAATGTCACTAATAAAGCAGTGATAGTAATTTAGATTGTTAAAATTGTATGTGTATGTGTTTGAATAAAAAGTTACGACATTCGGTATGCACAAGATATATAACATATACAGTGAATGAGCTAGCCAGGACCAGTCAAGTCGCCCACACTCACTGGCGGTTATATAGAGCTCAGAGATACCTGGTGGCCCACGCCTGCTCCCCCACCAACAACCTGTCCTCTCGAATAATACTCGAATAATACATTTTGACGTCAAAATCGCCAGCGGACAAAATATGATGGAATCGTAGCGGCTCGCAAACATTAATGCTTTCTATGCGTGGGGTCGGTCAGTTAAGTTCGGTTGTCTTGACACAATTTTCTCTCCGTTGTAGCAACACGGCAGAACGGTTTGCACCCACACCAGTAAGACATACACCTGGTAACCCACACCAGCAAGACATACACCTGGTAACCCACACCAGCAAGGCATACACCTGGTAACCCACACCAGCAAGGCATACACCTGGTAACCCACACCAGCAAGGCATACACCTGGTAACCCACACCAGCAAGGCAAACACCTGGTAACTTACACCAGCAAGGCATACACCTGGTAACCCACACCAGTAAGACATACACCTGGTAACCCACACCAGCAAGGCATACACCTGGTAACCCACACCAGCAAGGCAAACACCTGGTAACCCACACCAGCAAGGCAAACACCTGGTAACTTACACCAGCAAGGCATACACCTGGTAACCCACACCAGTAAGACATACACCTGGTAACCCACACCAGCAAGGCATACACCTGGTAACCCACACCAGCAAGGCAAACACCTGGTAACCCACACCAGCAAGGCAAACACCTGGTAACCCACACCAGTAAGACATACACCTGGTAACCCACACCACTTGTGCACACACCCTTCTGATGTGATCACCAACACAACACAACTCTCCCACATGATCTTTCCACACAACACAATAAAAGTTTCCCAATCATTAGAAAGAACGTTTTCAATGTCATGAGTAGTTAATAAATGGAATGCGTTAGGCAGTGATGTGGTGGAGGCTGACTCCACAGTTTCAAATGTAGATATGATAGAGCCCAGTATGCTCAGGAATCAATACACCAGTTGATTGACAGTTGAGAGGCGGGACCAAAGAACCAGAGTTCAACCCCCGCGAGCTCAACTAGGTGAGTACACAATACAACTAGCACAACACCATAGGTCTAACTCTACACACAATAGAACAACTCACACTGAAATATCCAGGAATAGTGTTCAAAGTTCATGATTAATTATACGAACTAATATCAAACTCAAGAAAGGGACTCGTCTCGACATAATTCGTTTTAAAATTGTGAATATGAAGATACACATTTTTACCTGATAGTGGATATTCTTGGGATTAGGATTGGTGGTGTCGCCGGAGCTGGGACAGGTTGTGTGGAGGAGGCTGCAGGAGCGGGTGATGCTCGCGCTCCCAGACTCTGGCACTGAATGGTGCGGCAGCAGGCGGACCCGGCCCCTGACACTCTTAACCCTGCACCCTCCCGCCTGCACGCTCCAACTTGTTCACAGATATGGTAGTGGGCCGCTCACCAATATACGCACGCACGCACACACACACACACACACACACACACACACACACACACACACACACACACTCACTCACTCACTCACTCACTCACTCACTCACTCACTCACTCACACACCTAGGGCGCTGGTGGCTGAGTGGAAAACACGCTGGAAGCATAGTCCGGGGTACGATTCCTGGCGCCGACGGAAACAGATGGGCAGAATTTCTTTCACCCTGATGCCCCTGTTACCTAGCAGTAAATACGTACCTGGGAGTTAGACAGCTTTTACAGGCTGCTTCCTGTGTGTGTGTGTGAGAGAAAAATTAGTAACAATTGAAAGAGCAGAGCTCAACCCCCGCAAGCACAACTAGGTGAATACACTACAGGTAAAATCTTGCAAATGTACCTGTGGTAGCCGGGATTGCTTTTATGCAGATTTTATTGAAATCTCTGTGCTTAGTAATATTTAAGTATTCTGAAAGCATGTAGTAGGTAATATTATATGTTCAAAATGCGCACATAAATTTTTGATGCTACAGAAACCCGAAGGTCAATCAAAACAAATGTTATTTTGAATGAATTGTCATCTTTTCCTCAGATAAATCTTTAATGATTCAAATGCTTTTAAGATTTAACTCAGGTAAATCCTAAAAGGTACCTCGGGTATCTTTAGTCATTTACCACCTCAGGTAAATCAGGTAAGTCTTGATACGTGGTCGAAATTAAAGTTATTTAACAGTGTCTCTGGTTGTGATAAGGGGACCTTCAATTCAAATGCTGACCTTGGTAGGTTAAATTTTGAATGGAGGAAATATTCAAAACGTATCTCAAGGGTTCATCGTCGCACCCATTGCAATCTCCTACCTAATGTCCGCACCTACAATTAAAGAGATAATTTACCAGCGAATTTCTTTTGGCTAAACAAAATGGTACAGTACCACCCATCCAGGAAACGCCATAAGCTTGACTTCTTTTTCATACATTCGCTAATCATTGTTTGACAGAAATCTGCACTTTCGTAATATTAAGTGCATATTTCCCTCACTGAAGGTAAGAATGAGTGAGGGTGAGACTGGTGGGAGGGATGGGGAAGGGGGTCCACACGACTGGTGGGAGGGATGGGGAAAGGGGGGGCCACACCCAGGCTCCTGCTTGCTACAGCCTGCTTCCGCACACCTGACGTCATGTGTATACGGGGCGAGGGCCGCTCACAACTCTCCTCCCTCTCTCTACGCCAGGTGTGACTGTTTCCATGTCATTCCTTGTGTATACGCGTCGGTGTATCCTCTCTCTCGCTCTTTAAGTCAAACTTTACTAGTGTCTTCTAGTCCGAGGGATCAGCATTGTAAGTACGTACTGCACATACTTTATATATATATATATATATATATATATATATATATATATATATATATATATATATATATATATATATATATATATATATATATATATATATATATATATATATATATATATATATATATATATATATATATATATATATATATATATATATATATATATATATATATATATATATATATATATATATATATATATATATATATATATATATATATATATATATATATATATATATATATATATATATATATATATATATATATATATATATATTATATATAATATATGTATGTCGTACCTAGTAGCCAGAACTCACTTCTCAGCCTACTATTCAAGGCCCGATTTGCCTAATAAGCCAAGTTTTCCTGAATTAATATATTTACTATAATTTTTTTCTTATGAAATGATAAAGCAACCCTTTTCTCTATGTATGAGGTCAATTTTTTTTTATTGGAGTTAACATTAACGTAGATATATGACCGAACCTAGCCAACCCTACCTAACCTAACCTAACCTATATTTATAGGTAAGGTTAGGTTAGGTAGCCAAAAAAAGCTAGGTTAGGTTAGGTAGGTTAGGTAGACGAAAAAACATTAATTCATGAAAACTTGGCTTATTAGGCAAATCGGGCCTTGAATAGTAGGCTGAGAAGTGCGTTCTGGCTATTAGGTACGACATATATATATATATATATATATATATATGTATGTATGTATGTCGTACCTAATAGCCAGAACGCACTTCTCAGCCTACAATGCAAGGCCCAATTTGCCTAATAAGCCAAGTTTTCATGAATTAATTGTTTTTCGACTACCTAACCTAACCTAACTTTTTCGGCTACCTAACCTAACCTATAAAGATAGGTTAGGTTAGGTTAGGTAGGGTTGGTTAGGTTCGGTCATATATCTACGTTAATTTTAACTCCAATAAAAAAAAATTGACCTCATACATAATGAAATGGGGAGCTTTATCATTTCATAAGAAAAAAATTAGAGAAAATATATTAATTCGGGAAAACTTGGCTTATTAGGCAAATCGGGCCTTGCATAGTAGGCAGAGAAGTGCATTCTGGCTACTAGGTACGACATATATATATATATATATATATATATATATATATATATATATATATATATATATAATTATTAAATTCTGATATTGATATAAGTTCCTGAAATTTGGATAAAGTTGCATCTTTATTTGAGAAAAAAAATGGGTGAAAGAAAAATACTAAAAGTGGTCTCAAACTTAATATTTCTAATCAAGATTTTTTGGCATTACATTAAAGGCTGAGAACAGTTTGCCTTCACCATTTCACTTCTTGGAGTGTGTTCCATTTGTTCACTATCTTGACATTTAAATGTTATTGTTTTGTTTCTGTGGGTCATTTGGGTACTTAGTTTCCTTGTGTTCTTTGATCATGTACTAGGCAATGCAAAATAATGTTATTTGCCATATGTATTCCCCTGAGTATTTTGTATGTGATCATGTCTACTGTTTTGTATCTCTTCTAGTGACGTGATGTACTCACCTAGTTGTACTCACCTAGTTGTGCTTGCGGGGGTTGAGCTCTGGCTCTTTGGTCCCGCCTCTCAACCGTCAATCAACAGGTGTACAGGTTCCTGAGCCTATTGGGCTCTATCATATCTACACTTGAAACTGTGTATGGAGTCAGCCTCCACCACATTGCTTCCTAATGCATTCCATTTGTCAACCACTCTGACACTAAAAAAGTTCTTTCTAATATCTCTGTGGCTCATTTGGGCACTCAGTTTCCACCTGTGTCCCCTAGTGCGTGTGCCCCTTGTGTTAAATAGCCTATCTTTATCAACCCTGTCGATTCCCTTGAGAATCTTGAATGTGGTGATCATGTCCCCCCTAACTCTTCTGTCTTCCAACGAAGTGAGGTTCAATTCCCGTAGTCTCTCCTCGTAGCTCATACCTCTCAGCTCGGGTACTAGTCTGGTGGCAAACCTTTGAACCTTTTCCAGTTTACTCTTATGCTTGACTAGATATGGACTCCATGCTGGAGCCGCATACTCCAGGATTGGTCTGACATATGTGGTATATAATGTTCTGAAAGATTTCTTACACAAGTTTCTAAAGGCCGTTCTTATGTTAGCCAACCTGGCATATGCTGCTGATGTTATCACATGTTATCACAACCTGGCATATGCTGCTGATGTTGTTGTGTGTCCCCTACTGTACTAACAGTATTATATCAGATCTGCAGATCCATCTTGGCCAGAATTTCTGAACCAGGGAGGAATTCTTCCAGAGGGGAGGAAGAACTGGGAATTGTGTTTTCTACAAACTACAAATCTACAGATTGTGCATAATCTATAGAACGTCATACCTTACTGTATGTCAAAGGTTAGTCTATAAAATGGAATGTTCGAGATTGGAGGCCAGATGTGGGGCTATCCTCATTAAACTTTGCTAGATTAATAGTTATGTATGTTATCGGGAGGCGTAGGAAGGGTGGGGTTATCCCAGTGCCCCCCATTCTGAAGAGGGGCACTGCCCCAATGCCCCTCCTTTCTTGAAGTCTGAAGATGTGAAATGTTCAGCCCTGAGCCAATAGACTTTACCATTACTTTAAATATTTGTGAATTCAGGCATTGACTTTCAAAACGTATGTTGTTCAGATGACACATCTGCATTCTAACCACAACGTTTTCGTTACAGTGATAGCGATGGTGGATGATGAATGGTTACAATGATGGAGGAGAAACAGGAAAGCTATGTGGGTGGGATATGGGGAGGGTATGTGGAGAGCGATGGGGAAGGTGGGTAGAGTGGTAAAGGAGAGGGTGTAGAGAGGGAGATGGGAATGTAGAGAAGGGGAGAGGGGGAGTTGGGGGAATGTGAAAAGGGAGGTTAGGAATCCTCCTAACCTCCTGTACATTCATTGTGCATAGGCCAGGGTGTACCAATTCCCTAAGTATACACATGCCCTAACTTAAGTGACAATGAACATAACATTTTTTGCTTAAAGTTTTGATAATGTTTTCTCCTCATAAATTCTAAACTTAAATAACCCTTAAGTACTGTCCTGTACTTTTATTTGTTACCATGTTAATTGCCCTGTAGTGAGTGTACCTGTGACTAGCTCATTTGACCATATCTTGAGATCATCTTGAGATGATTCCGGGGGTTAGGGTCCCTGTCCTCGACCAGGGCCGCGGTCAAGGACCTCGACCTCAACCTTAAAGGCAAATCCATTACAACTATTGGTACAGTAGTTGTTACTACATATAAATCCTGACTACAAATAAATACATGGTACTACATATAGTAGTCAATTTTGATTTGGACGAAACCTTATAATAAACAAAGTCAATAAGCCATGCCACTATTGGTTTAGCTATTAGGTTCTAGTCACAATTTAGTCATTAGTAATTGCTTTTAATTCTGTAAGAGAAAGCAGATACACAGAAGTTAATAACCATATTGATTTTCTAATACGGTATTTATTTTAATGAAGTATTTGTACACTATGTGGAGCACTCCTAATCTGGTACAGTATATTCATTTAACAAATTTTTAAAATAAATACAACACTATGCTGTGGCTGCAATTCATCCATAGAAATTAATGCTTCAAATAATCCCCTTTCCCCCCCTGGTGATCTTCATTAACAATCGGAGTCGACATTGTTGTAGGTAATTACAGTTGAGCCCGTGTGATCAGTAATTAGTCTTTTAAAGTTGAATATTTTCTAGATTGTAAAACTATTTGTTAAGTAATACAATTAAATAATTTTTCATACTTTTATTTTTTTGTTTATAAAAATAATTGTACATTTAATCAGTCTATAATAATGTACAGTATATTATGGATATGGCAACCTTACCAATAATTATAGCTGCTATCAGCCTCACATTCTCTGCATAATAGGGATGGAGGGATTGAGTTTAAAACCCATCTCAAAGTTACTTCATGTAAAGGCAGAGAGAAATGAAAAACCATACTGTATTTGAAACATTTTTCTTAACTGGTCATTTCAAAGCCAACTCCCTTTGCCCTCCCCCTATGTTCATTCTACCATTTTTATTTTCAGAGCAGATGGGATGAAAGTAAGATAATGTTAACTGGTTGACCATGTTTATGTTAACATTTTTGACACATGGTGGCAGTGATTTGCAGAAGCCGAATAACAACATAGGTATTCAGGTGGGTACAGGGGGGGGGGGGCGGGAGGTACCAGTTACACTGTACACAAGACGATTTGACAACATAATTTTAAAACTTTTTTTCCATCCCAGCCTAACACATCCTAATGTAACAATATATACAATCAGTTTTAACAAACAGAAAACTACTTTGTTGAATAGTCTTTTGTACAATTTGACTATTCCCAGTATTTATTGGGAGTAGGTGGGCATGTAAGTGGGTGGTATAGTAGGGGGGTTAAATCTGTAGGAGCTATGAGGGTTTGAACCCCCACACTTGGTACTCCCATGGACTGATGCATCTATTTAATGTGATTTCATTGTGCATAGGCCAGGGTGTACCAATTCCCTAAGTATACACATGCCCTAACTTAAGTGACAATGAACATAACATTTTTTGCTTAAAGTTTTGATAATGTTTTCTCCTCATAAATTCCAAACTTAAATAACCCTTAAGTACTGTCCTGTACTTTTATTTGTTACCATGTTAATTGCCCTGTAGTGAGTGTACCTGTGACTGTTCATGTGTATGCAGCCAGCCAACAAGAGCATGTGTGTGTTTGTGTCAGTACTGTATTGATATGGCGCAGAGTGGGGTAATCACATTCACATACAGTACTGTACACGAGTTTGTACACCCACTTGTGCATGCATCTATAAGCCTTTCATTGTGCATGAAAGGCTTATATGTGGGCATGAATGTGTACATGCACTGTGTATATGCTAGCAACAGCCAGGCCAAGCAATGTAACCATTTAGTGCCCAGAGAGTCTCTTATTATGTTCCAAAACAACAACCTAATGACTAGAAATATAATTTGACAGCCGATACACCTAGCTGTACATTACCATTGATAAAAAAAAAAAGGATCTTTCCAGTTTTTTTTATATTTTTTTGAGGGGGGGGGTGTTCTTCACATTATTCCTAGTAATAAGATACCAGTACTGCCAGATTGTGTACCACCAAGTGGATGTGGCAGGGATGCTGACAACTTAGGGGAAGGTGTCATTTGGAATACTGTTACCATTATAATAATTTTTGTTTAAATCAAAGCCTGTAACACACAGAAATCACAATAACGTGATTCATCAAATGAACAAATCCACAAGGGCCGTGACGAGGATTCAAACCTACATCCGAGAGCATCCCAGACACTGTCTTTTGCAATTCTTTTACCATGTAGCTCAGTCAATTAAGACAGGGTCTGGGATGGTCTCGGACGTAGGTTCAAATCCTCGTCATGGCCCTTGTGGATTTGTTCAAAGCCTGTAAATTTAACAAAATAAGAAAATACAGTATAAAAAAAATCCTCAATACATTTGTACTATAAATATTAAAATAAACCAATCTCATTGATATTAGAGCAGTATACCCAACTGAAAGATGGGTAATTTTCACATCTTTTGTTATAAGTTTGAATATTGTGAAGTGTAAATGGTTACAATTTCAAAGTATTCAAAAATAGCATTACTCAAATATAAATATACTGTAATTTAAAATAAATAATAGTTTTTTTATTTACAATCCAGCAATGAATTGTCATGAAGATAAAGCATATAAACACAATTTTATAACATAATACCATACTAACCTCAAATCAATTTGTTATTTACACTACCTAAAATATTATTTGTACTAAAATACTATATTGAGACACTTACTTTTCAGAGTAAATTCAGAAATCTAGAAATATTTTCAAGCAACTGAACAGAAAATTTGGATTCTCACTTCCATTCATAACATGGGTGATGCCCTTTACAGAGGGTATCAAACATGTAAATATTAAATTGTTAGATCCCATGTAATTCAGACATACAATAACATGGCTGAAAATGAGAAACCCATCCCATAAACCTGAAAATAAAGTAATTGATGTTTCAGTCCATCGTTGATCATTATCATGACATGATAATTGTTTTGAGTAGACTGAAATATTATCAATTACTTTATTTTCAGATTTGTGGGATGGTTGTCTAATTCAGATTGTTTTATAATTTTCTGCAAAAACAAGGTATTACCCCATAATGGGTTTGCCTTATTAAAATATAGTATTTTTATAAAATACTGTATATAGAGAATATAATTTGGCATGTGATGCAATTAAGACTAGAGCATTTCAAATTCTGAACATTTTAAGTACAGTATTACATTACATTCATACTAAATTTAATAGTAAAAATAAAATACAAGCAAAGAAAGAAAATAATTCAGATAATTTGTTATGAAAATAAAGTATAGTAGAGCACAGATGGATAAATTTCTTGTTACAGCAAATATACCCATTGAAAACCACTCCTATTGCAATAGGTACCCCGTCACTTTTGGCACTAACATGAAATGGAATTGTAGATTTATTTATAGACAACTGATACCAAGTACATATAACCAGAGTCAATGAAGTGCATATAGCAAAGACCCTTCTCCATGAAGAAATTATTTTAAATTCAAGGATTTGAGAAGTAGGTGCAAGAGGTTAGTGAGTATACAGATGGTTGTATATTAACCTACCCATCCGCCACACACCCACATTTTACGGCAATTTCTCCACATGACATTAAAACTGCCATAATCTCACTAGATACACATGCTGCTTTTATACTAGCTTTACTTTCTGAGAAGGTGGTACAGTACTTGAAATCAATACTGAAGTTTACCAATGCATGGCAATGCCTTACACAAGTTTTGTACATTTTCTTAACTACCATATAAAGTGTTTTCAATTCATAATGTAAAAAATTAAATCTTACCGTCATCAGGTGAGGTAGTATCACTTGATTTGATTCAGCTGTCTGTAATTGCAAGCATCAGTGCAACTTCTAGTACACATTCTGAAGTATCTTGTGTACAAGCCTCATCTGTACCCTCATGACCTTCATTTTATTGGTAATATTCTTGGTGTCAGCCAACATCTTTTACTGAAAATTAATGCGAGGAAACATCCACACGTTTGTGAGAATGGTTAACAAGTGCTTGAGATAAATAGGGTGTAGTTCCACTAACCTCAAATATCTATGACAACATATGTTCCCACAATTTTAAAATTTGTGCTTATAGCATCCTTACTCTATACTGTACTCCTGAAACAAAAGCATCACATTCCATTTCTTCCCACTTCTTCCATGTACCTTTTCTGGTACACTCAATAAGTGCCCCACTTCCTCAGTTACTAATTTTTACCTCTGCTAGCTTTGTTGCAGTCAAATGGTATCCTTCATATTCTCCTACAACACACATTTTGGACAGCCTGTCACTGATGTCATCAATCCTCTTCTATATTTTAACAATTATATAAACTATACCAATGACCTATTTCAATACTAATTACTTTAAGTGGATTTCCCAAATCTTCATCCATTTCGTGATTCCCATAAAAAGCCCCTTTACTACAAAGTATTAATCCCAATGCTGTACTTATTTAACACATCATTGTCTTTCATTTAACATTTCCATCCTACCTCTACCCATGTACTCTTACCCTCATGCCTAGCATTAACATTTTTTCAAGACAGTAAGAAATTTCAGTCCCTAACCAATATAAAACAAACTGGTGTTTTCTGATCTGTTTAGATCTGTAGACAAATCACTTGAAATAAAAACATCGGATTCATCCATAAATTCTAGATCACTGGTAGAGTACGAAGACGACCACCTACTGGATGAGACGGATGCAAAGGCTGGTTCTGACCTTGAAGACTTCATCGTATCTGCAGAAAAGAACTTCAATAAGTTGTGTATAATAATAATTTAAAAAACAATTAAGGATAAAAAAATAAAAAGCAATTAAGGATAAAAAAAATACAGTTAAATCCTATGTATATGATCAAGGAAGGTGTCCATGGTCTTCAATACCAGCATCTCTCGTGATACAAACTATAATTAATTATGGATCTCTTGAAAATACAAATCAAATAATAACAATTATTACATTTAGAATTAATCATAAATTACACAACTATAAATATTATAATACATAACACTGACAATGATAATATCTTGTACGAGCAAATATGATTTGATTATACAGTACTGTATTGTATTTACACACGAAAAATTAAGTTTTCCCTACAAAACCACTTGGGCATCACTTTCAATAAATGTGTGATTAAACAGGAATTCAGTTTACAGAATTCCTAACACTGATGTGTCTGAATTCAACACTAACCTTAAAAAACAAAAACTGTACAGTACTAGCAAACAGACTTAAGAAAAACAACTAATAATTTCGGGGGATTTTAATATTGACCTCTGCAAGCCTGATAACCCTCAAGCTGCTAGTTTCCTCAACCATATGAATTCCCGCTTGCTCATATCCTTAATCACTAAACCTACCAAAATTACTGATATGACTGCCTCTACTCTTGACCACATCTGGACTAACATAACCTCTCCACTCACTTCAGGGATAATCACTGATAGGACCACAGACCATTACCCCCACATTTCTTCTAACCAACATTAATAAACCACCTCTAGAGTTGGTTTATTAATGAGTTGGGGAAAGAGAAAGATTTGGGACTTACCAGCTGCTCACCATATTAAATTTTGGTCTCACTTTAATGGAGTCAAAAGTATTGGGAGGATTGCCATCACCGAAGTCTACTTTTAATGATAGCTGTTAAATGCATAGAGTGGGAACTGAAATTTGTAGTATAAACATGTAAACAATGATTAAAAATTATGCAGTTAGGTCCATTAGGCTATTTTTGTAACAACTCGTATGGCTGTGCAGGCATAAAAGTAGCACTGTTTGTATTATGGGGGAACGGTGGAGTGGGTTCATATAGCGGACTGAGATGCAAAAACAGGGACATGGGAGACAGGCCATTCATATTACCTGTGTATGTCTGTTAGATGTTTGTAAGTTGAGACCTCTGTACATGGTGAGATGGGCCAGGTTGTGGCACATCCCCTGCTTGATGAAGGCATCAACAATTGATTGTCATGCCCAAAGCTTCTTTTCCAGGAGCATTTTTTAGCATAATAGCATATCACACTGACAAAATTACATCACCTTTAAACACAACTATGGTGGTAGTACTGCCATCTAGTACATTTGCGTAGTTACCAAAGGCATAACTGGCAATCTGTATGTTTCCAGTTACTACTCAAGAGATAACGATTGTTACGATTTTGTTGATTGATATTATAGGAAGCAGTTCCCTCCTTAATTAGGTAACAAAACCATTTGCATGGTTACTTGTCATCGTGAGCCTGGTGGGAGTGAGTGTCTTGTGAAACCCCTGATTATGTCTAATGGAACAACTGAGGAAACCTCTCTCATAAAATATTATTTGTTGTTTTATTATTTGTCAAAAGCTTCATAGTTTTCACTTACCTTCTTTCCAAAAATAATTATCTGACTTCAACTTCCTGAGAGCTTCCTGGGCCTCAGGGACACCCATCTTCTCAGCTTTGACAAGTAGACTATACATACGATCAGAGTCGGAAGGTCCACCTTGTCCACGGCTCATTAGAACTGCTAAATTATAGGTAGCCCATCCGTGTCCAGCCTCACTGGCTGTCTCATATAGTTCTCGAGCCTGATGGATAAAAGAAACTTGTCCTTTATTGTAAATTGCATAGGTAGCTGTCACTTATTCTATATTACAGCATTTGCAAAGTTCCTTGTCACTGTGGGGCACGGACAATGAGAACCTGGAATCTTAGTGCCCTGGGTGTACCGTGGCTATTGGCTCAGGAAGCAACCAACAGAAGCTTGCTTAGGAATGAAAAAAAAATCCAACCCATTATATTGTACATATAAGTTCAAACATTTCCAAATTAATAATATACAGTACTGTAAATAGAGAAACAGTCACAATAGAGTGGCTGAAATAAATAACCCTAAGGAAATGCCACCACTTGCATTTTACATGTGGGTTGGGTTATTTATAATATAAAAAGTTAAAAGAGGACGTACCATCTTCAAATCCTGAGTGACACCATGGCCTAGTTGGTAACAAAGGGCAAGGTTGAAAACAGCTGATGGATCACCTAACAGTGCCCCAGCCTTGAAATGTGTGACTGCTGAGAGAATTTCACCTTCCATAACTCCTAAAAGCTGATCTTGAATTATCTTAATGCCTTGACTTTCAGCCTTCAGAATCTGTTGGCAATACAATAGATATTAAATCTACCATACAAGAGTGATTTATATGGAAATAATGTAGTACTAACCACATCATTATCAAACTTACATCTAATACAAACATTCACGAGAGGGTTAAAAACAAAGAGGGGCACTAGAAGTGTGTGAAAAAGTTTTAAAGAAGTCTGATAAAGAGATCTAGGGGTGGTTTTTGGATATATAACTGTCAGAATAGAACCAGTGAAGAGCAGGGGTGCCATAAGCACAATCAGATAACACTGATTGTGCACCAGAGGTCCACGGTTGTTCAACATCCTCCCAGCGAGTATAAGAAATATTGCTGGAACAACTGTGGACATCTTCAAGAGAAAACTAGATAGTTTTTTAAGAAGTGCCGGACTAACCAGGCTGTGGTGGATATGAGGGCCTGCGGGCCGCTCCAAGCAACAGCATGTTGGACCAAGCTCTCAAGTTAAGGCTGGCCTTAGGGCGTACTTGGGGAGTAGAACAACTCCCAGACCCCATCACGCAGGTATAAAGCACCTGAGGATCACATAAAGAACATTGTGAAAGGGGTGTATGCTATGCTTTCCAACTTTGGAATTACTTTTACTCAAGAAGCACATCATTAAACTATAAAAGATGCACAGACATGCAACTAAATGGCTTCCAGAAGTGGAAAAACAAGAGCTATGAGGAGAGATTATGTGTTAAATATACCAAAGCCAGAAGATAGAAGAAAAAGAGGTAATATGATCACCACACACAAAATAGTAACAGGAATTAATAAAACTGACAAAAAACAATTTTTTAAAACAGCAACTTCAAGAACAAGAGAACATAGGCTCAAACTAAGTAAAGAAAGCTCTTGAAAAACCTCAGAAAGCTCACTTTTGGAAAGTGGTAGTCATTTGGAACAAGTTCAGGGAGGGAACAGGTGGTTCATTTTGAACAAGTGGTGGAGGCCAAAACCATCCGTAGTTTTTAAAGTGTTATACATATGACAGAGAACTGGGAAGACTGGACATCATAAGTGTACCTCTCATCCCGTAACTACACTTAAGTAATTACACTTAGACAATTACTAAGTTCATGCAAAATGACTTACTGTTACTTTAGAAATGGTCAAAAGACTAGTAAATACTAATGAGTTTACACTGACTAATTTCAACAGGAAGCTCCATGTTATTAAGATTTAATAGCATATGTGAAGAAAGTCATTCAAGATATCCAGAAGTCTGAGCTGTTCTCTCCTCCTGCATACACTTAAAAGTTAAATAAAATAAACAAAATTTAGGCTCCCTGCCTCCTGCTTTCTAATAAACATTCTTAACACGAACTTGGTGCCGTCTTATACATGTACTGATGGGAATATGACTCTTTGACAGGCAGACAAGGAGTGTCAGGAGACAGAAACCATAACACTGTATCTCAACTGTAAATGGAAACTTTATATCAAACTGCTAAAATTGACAAAAAATTGACAAATTAATACATTTATTGAGTGCAGCATATTTTTAAGTTTAAACATTTACATGATAAACAAATTCAAACTCATTTTGAATTCTTCAATTTAAGTTGATAAGGAACCAATTCATTGAGCTTTACTTTGTCAATTTTAGTAATGCGTTTAATTTAGATACAATGCATATTTTAATACTGTACTTTATTATATCAAGATGTTTGTAATATAAAAATTAAGAAAACTAATTGGAAAGAAAAATTCTTGATGCTTGACTAGAATATAAATGGGAAACTAATACTATATTGAACTAAGTTTTTTACCTGACCTACATAAAGCCAAATATGTAAATGTTACCAGAGATACATATGGAACCATCAGTCATTAATCTAAGTGTTCCTTGTACGAAGGGAATCCATATTAAATCTAAAGATGCTGTACAGTTCTAGAACAAATGCAGGTGGATCAACCTCTCAGGTTGAGACAAAACACAGTTATATACATTACTGAGAATAAGTCACACTAACATAGGTGAAAATTAATAACCCAATCCACACACATGAAAAGAAAGGAAATTGACAACATTTTGGTCTGTCTTCACCCCTAAGTCACGTCTCAGTTGTGACATAATAATGGTCCAGGACGGACCAAAACATTGTAACTTTCCTTTCTGTTCATGAGTGTGGGTTGGGTTATGTACAGTATTGTAAAATACTCTACCTCCATGAAGCTGTCACTCAGTTCGATGATGCCAGGCTCGGCATCAAGATGCTGCGATGAATCACTGGCTCCAACATTCTGGCCACTGTCATCACACGTGCAGTCTTCCAACAACACCTCTTCTCTCTTCAAGGAACTTTGTCTGATTGAAGGATCTGATAAGGCCGAGACAGATTCTTCAAGCCTAGCAGTCTTCTGTACCCCTTTTGTGCATCTTACATCCCTGTCTTCTTCACTTTTAGCTTTATCAAGGAGTAAACTTTCCTTGTCAGTATCACTTTGTTTAATATCTTCCTCTTCCAGCTTTGTTGGCTGGGGCTTGATAAATAATTTGGGGTTTTGGCAACATTCTGAATCTTCAAATAAAATTGTGTTGTCCTGTATAGAATATGTATTTTGCATCGAGAAGTGAGCTTCTTTTGTTATAGGGACCTCGGTTCCATATTTACAGCTTTGTTTTTGTTTTGTTTGGCTAGTATTTTTATCTTGGAATAATTGGAGATCTTTATGAAGATCTGGGATTATACGATTGTTTAACAAGGAATCTAAGGATTTGTCTTTTAATGTTGCCTTACTAAACATTGTCTTTTTTAATTCAAATTGATTTGCAGCAATATTCCAGAAAAAGCCAAAAGGAGATTGACTTGTCTCATGACTGAAAAAGTGGTGCAGATGTGGCATGTCATCTTCGTGTTGCTGGGATTCATAATATGCCTGATCTTTAATGTATTGATAGTGTTCGCTATAGTTAACTTGGCACTTACTTACTAAAGTGTCAGCCTCATTATACCATGACTTGGTTTTCTGTTCACTGTTACAGAAGTAATCTTGTCCTTGTCTCTTATATTTGCATCGTAGGACACCCCAGTCGTGATATAAAGACCACGTAAGCGCAACAGCCGATCCCTGTAAATTAATCAATAACTATTAAGTAAAAACATACAACAATTTCCATTCAGTAAAAACATACAACAATTTCCAAGCTCTATTTAGCACGCAATACAATATATACACTCGATGGATGGAGTGTTTATATTTTCCCTTACTTGAAGCTGAAACAAGTATATATTATGCTATGAGCAATATTAGTCAAAAAGGCAGTTTAATAAGCCTTCTCAATTATCCCTTCCTAACCACTCGTCCTGCACCTCTCAAGAATTGGATAAAACTCTTATAAGCAAAATAGTATAAACAAATTAGGTGTACTGTACTCTCATCTTGGTGTATATCTACATTAAAGTATAAAACACAGTTGAAGTATATTTTAAAATGTGTTATTATGTTGGCCACTCCATAATGTCATAGAAGATATGCACATGAGAATCAATGATAAATAACTACCTCAAAACTAAATATTTCTCAACCAAATTCTGCCATTAAAGTTCCATCAAATTCCAGACACACAACAGGTAACCACTCCATATACTGTACTGTATTCTCAAATGTAAATTTCATCTATGAGAGGCTTATGAATGTAGATGGGATAAGTTTAAAGATTGTAACAATTAAGCACTAAAAAGAGAAGTAGTTGTGCTCAGCTATATCAAAGTGATCTGAATTCACTGCAGCCTACTGTACAAGACTCAAATATCAAGAAAGCATCAGTCATAGTTCCACACAACAGACTTCCGGATAATTAAAACACGTGGAAGGAGTACTGGGCACACTTCTAGTCAAGAAGTGTGCTATTACTCCATTTCCCAAGCATAGTTTAGGCACTGGAGTGATAAATCTGTGGATGAGAAATCCTGACTATAGCTCCAAGGGTTCAAAACTTGTTAAAAAATGATGAGAGCATAATCTACCTTGTAAACCCCAAGATTCCCCAACACTAAAGGAAACCATTTTCCTCTGTAACTCAGGGGTCTAGTGATCCTGTACTTAGTGATAGCACTCACACTGTCAGGATCTGCCTCATTTGGTTTACACACATTATGAAGACAACGCTAGCCAATAATCTACCACAGGCAAACCTAATTTAAGAAAAATACCAATAGAATTTTAAGATAAACAGAGTTACCTACCCATCCCACTGCTTGGAGAATTGAATATGTCGAGAGGAAACACCCCCATTGTTGCAGAGGACACGTTCCATCCCGGTCGTGTGTCTGCTTTCCATTTTCTTGCTTCTTCTCCTCCTTACCTAAAGGCTTGTCTTGTGTAGAGTCTAAGAGTACTTCCCAGTGCCATGGAGTGCTGCTATTGTAGCCTGCTGTGAACACGTCTCTATCCCTTCCACTTCGCTGGTGTTTCTCTTCCTTTCCTTTGAGATCATTTTCTAAGGTTCTAATGACCTGATTTTCCCATCTGTGAACACCATTCACAGACTTAAAAATGGGGTCGTCCTTGTTGTGGCACGAGGTTGGTAAAGAGTAATACAAGGGAGCGAGTGAGTGTTGCTGCACTACTTTTTTACTATGTGGCTTGTGCTCCTCCACACTCTCCTGGCAGAAAAGGTGACTTGCTCTTACACATCGCACGCCTGAGAATTGAACCAGAATTGTTATTAAAACTCTAACTTTATTATTTACATCATGTATTTATATTTACATACATTAAAACAGAGAAGTCAATATATACTGTATACAGTACTGTATACTTTATTATTATACTGTATACTTTATTTACAGTAAAGTTCACTCCTGGTTGTGTAAAGCATCCCCCAGGCCCCTTACTTATGAGATCCATGTAGAACTTTATTGTATTATGGGGAAAAACAGGCTGCACCCTCATGTAAAAAATAATTACAACAAATTTATACAATACTATACAGTGAAATATTTTGTATTTACTTTGTATTTTGTATTTAATTTTGTAATAGAACACAAAAATAAATTCAATGTTTTATTGTAAAATTTTAAAGTTAATTAAAAGTGGAGTACCAAGTGCGACTGACTGATATCAAAGATACCAGGCAAGAGGAAGAGGGTTTGTTCCCCAACTCACGTTTACAGTACCATTGGTATCTTGTGTCACTTGACGCAGCTGCATGTTTGCTCTTTAAACATTTTGCAATGATCCTTGTCAATTTTGGCATGTTTAAAGGAGCATTGTGTGATAGAAAGAATTTGTTTCTCATAGTGGTTACCTGGAAGTGAACTGAGGAATGCTCTCCACTTTGCACTGCTCCTATTTAGAAGGGGAGGCTAAACAGTTTGAAAAGGTACTTGTCCTTCTAGGTTCATAGTCACTCAGAGCCACAGGGCAGAGGGACCAGGGAAGCTACACAGGGCACCTTAAACATGAGTTACAGTGTTTTGCTTTTTCACCCATTGGGTAATAAGCCCATGGAATGGCCTACCTGTCAAAACCATAAATACCAAGATGTTACTGCAGTTCAAAATCAAGTTGGAACAAATTATTGGGGAAATGGAAGAACCTTTGACAAGATAACAGCTTCCTGTCCCCATCAAGGCCACTAGATAGATGGTGGCCCTCAGGTAAATTCAGGTAAATACTGTACTGTATACATAAACACTATGTGCAAAGATGTGCTCTGATATTTGCAACTATGAAACTTCTAAAAGTCTTGTGATAAAATGACAAGGAAAAACTTAAAAATATAGAATTCACCAAAATCTGGAATGAAACCCACCTGAAAGCAGCAATTACATAATTATATTCAAAGCTGGATTTTCAATAACATTTACAGTGATCATAAAAAATTGGTATGAAACTATATTTTGATGAAAATCAGTCTGGTCTTCAATGACTAAAAATCCAGACTCCTGTTTTAGATTTCAAAATAATTCTTGTCCAATTTTAAAGGTTTCCAAACTTATGATCTAGATTTTCCAGGATACACTGTACTGTATTATATAGGTATTGGAGTGGTCAATTAGACCCAACTTTAATTCCTAGGCAAGGCAAGACATTTAGGCAATGTTTCCTTATACCTAATGCCTCTTTTCACCGTAGCAGTAATTAGGTACCTGGGGGTTAGACAACTGTTGTGGGTTCCATCCAGGGGAAGGTCCGCAGTTGGCCTAAGGTGATCTTGATAAGCCTTCCTGTCACCAACAATGTGAAACCAAGCCTAACCTAATGATATACAGTATACAGTTTTAACCATAAAGTGAGGAATGTGTTAGAGCAATGAAGAGAGGTTAGAGGCATTAAATATACTAAATCTAGAAGATAGAAGAAAATGAGGTGATATGATCCCTACATACAAAATAGTAACAGGAATCGATAAAATTTACAAAGAAGAATTTTTGAAAACTGCATAAAATTACAAATAGTTGTAATTTCTCTTTGTAATTACTGTGGCTAATTACCACATTTGAGTAATTACCCAAGTGTAGTTACAAGATGAGAGTTACGCTCGTGGTGTCCCGTCTTCCCAGTTCTCATCCTGTAAACTGCACTTGTTGATTGACAGTTGAGAGGCGGGACCAAAGAGCCAGAGCTCAACCCCCGCAAACACAACTAGGTGAGTACTTGGGTAACTACACTTGAGTAATTACACTTTGACAATTACACTTGGGTAATGGTGCCAAGACCTTGAGTAGAGACCTAGTAAGGTCACACCACCAGATAACACATAATTAACATACCTCGTGCGATGGAGCCAAATATTCGCCACATCATTTACCAGGTAATATGTCTATGGTATTGGGAAGACACAGGTGACGACAGTAGGGAGGCTGTGGAGTGCTGCCGGAGGCGCTGACGCCGAGGGCTGATGAGGCCGGTCCATAGAATTACCCCAATCACCCCAAATCAGGCCAAAACTACCCAAATCGTCCTAGCATTACGTAAGTAATGAAGAAATATGGCATATTTACTTACTGTAATGTTGGTGCTACACATAGAACATGATCAAACCTATTTTTACTCTGAAATAATCTAATTTCATAACGAAATTAGACGTAAATATGTGAGAGGTGACGCCATAGGAAGTCGACGGTCCAAGCGACAATTGTGTGGAGCGACTTATCCAAGAAATATGGTCGCCAGGAGAGTGTTTGCTGCCATATCAGCCTCCTGTACACAGTGATCCAGTCCTTTTCGTTCATTGAACACCGAACCCTACACGCCCTCTGATATATTGCTTAATTAACAAATATTCACAAATAAAGATTATATTTGTATATGTTATCAGAAAGGCAGATATAAAATAGTTTTTGTGAATCCATCACAGAGATTATACCTTATTAGAGAGGAAAAATATTCATACTTTAAACAAGGCTTCATGGCCGACGCTCTCCTTACCGATATGGGAACTATGACCTTCCGAAGATCAATGTTAATTTAATCTAGATATTGTAATAAACGAAGTTTTCTATGTCATCATAAAGACATAAATATAAGCTGCATGTTAATACTTTGGCATAAATATAACTGAATTGAAAGTTAAGATATATGCCTTTTTATAGTTACTTGATGGCTCGCTCAGGGAGTGTGAAGGCCTCCACACAAGCCAATCAATTTTATAATTACTTTGCATATATGCAAAGTAACGCCATAGGTCTTTATGTCAGAATAAAGCCATGCAGACGATAATGTAACTACATTTCAAGGAAAACATATCTTAATATAATTATTAAATGAATGCAAAGTTATGGTTAAATAAATAGCCAATACCACACAATCGCCGGTGTCCGGACACATGAATAGTCGCATTAGGTGAAAGGAAATGTACCCAACCATTTCCATTTACCCAACCAGTTTGTGCACCCTATACTCATCCTCTGTGCGGTAATTTATTGTGCATCCCATACTCATCTTGTTACCAGTAGTTTGTGCAACCCATACTCATCCTGTGACCCGTAATTTATTGTGCATCCCATACTCATCCTGTTACCGGTAGTTTGTGCAGCCCATACCCATCCTGTGACCTGTAATTTATTGTGCAACCCATACTTATCCTGTGACCTGTAGTTTATTGTGCAGCTAATACTCATTCTGTGAGTCATAGGACATTGCGCAACCCTTTCTCATCGTGTGAATCTTTGTTTACTTTGCTCTCCATATTCATCCTCTGCGCGAGTTTCTTGTGCAACCCATACCCATGATGTGAGTGGTAGTTTATTGTGTACCCTATATTCATCCTGTAAGTATAGGGTACACAATTCTTGTTTGGATTCTTGTAATGTTATTTGTCTATTTGTAGTCACAGTATTTGTGCGCCCCTTGAGGGACTTGAATTAGAGGGGGGTTGAAATAGCCTAAGCTACTCTATCCCTTTGAGATGTATTTATTGCTTATCTCAATAAACATACTTGAACTTGAACTTGGGTACACAATGAGTTCATTTGTACTCCATACTCATCATCAAGAAGTGTATTTTACCAGCATTGTAATATAAATTAAGAATAAAAGCTTAACTGGATTACGGACCCATAATCAAAATAAGAGTCATCACTAATTATCATGACAAATTGTCTAGGCTACACTTCCGCCTTCGACAAGCTGCCGCCGGATGTGGGTATAGTTTATTGTACACCCCCGCACCCCCAGTCCTGGAAGGGCGGGCATTGGGATGTGGACATGTGTACCATAATACCCCCCCCCCCACACACACACTCGATCCTCTCCTGTTAATAATAATACTAATAATAATAAAAATTAAAAATAATAACGTTAATAAATATTATAATTAAAACACTTACTGTAATACCCTAGTGCTTGAATGAAGGTGAAGGAAAGACCCAATAAATGTGTAAGTGTATTAAAAACCAAATTTTCGTTGGGTGAGCTGGCAGGTGAGCACCACCTGCCAGCTCACCCAGTAATGAACATCACCTGCACACTGCACCGAACATAAGAACATAAGAACATAAGAACAAAGGTAACTGCAGAAGGCCTATTGGCCCATACGAGGCAGCTCCTATTCTATAACCACCCAATCCCACTCATATACTTGTCCAACCCGTGCTTGAAACAATCGAGGGACCCCACCTCCACAATGTTACGCGGCAATTGGTTCCACAAATCAACAACCCTGTTACTGAACCAGTATTTACCCAAGTCTTTCCTAAATCTAAACTTATCCAATTTATATCCATTGTTTCGTGTTCTGTCCTGTGTTGATACTTTTAATACCCTATTAATATCCCCCGGTTATGTCCATTCATCCACTTGTAAACCTCTATCATGTCACCCCTAACTCTTCGCCTTTCCAGTGAATGCAACTTAAGCTTTGTTAATCTTTCTTCATATGAAAGATTTCTAATTTGGGGAATTAACTTAGTCATCCTACGCTGGACACGTTCAAGTGAATTTATATCCATTCTATAATATGGCGACCAAAACTGAACTGCATAATCTAAATGGGGCCTAACTAGAGCAAGATATAGCTTGAGAACCACACCAGGTGTCTTGTTACTAACGCTGCGATTAATAAATCCAAGTGTCCGATTTGCCTTATTACGAACATTTATGCATTGATCCTTTTGTTTTAAATTCTTACTAATCATAACTCCCAGATCCCTTTCGCAATCCGACTTCGCAATCACAACACCATCTAGCTCGTATCTTGTAACTCTATCATCATTACCTAACCTCAGAACTTTACATTTATCAGCATTAAACTGCATCTGCCAATCCTTTGACCATTTCAAAACCCTATCTAGATCAACTTGAAGTGATAGTGAGTCCTCCTCCGAATTAATTTCCCTACCGATTTTCGTATCATCGGCAAATTTGCAAATGTTGCTACTCAAACCTGAATCTAAATCATTTATATATATTATAAACAACAGAGGTCCCAGGACAGAGCCTTGAGGCACTCCACTTACAACATTTTCCCACTCTGACTTGATTCCATTTATACTAACTCTCTGTTTCCTTTGGTATAACCATGCCCTAATCCAGCTTAATATAGCACCCCCAATACCATGAGACTCTATTTTTTTAATCAGTCTTTCATGTGGCACTGTATCAAAAGCTTTGCTAAAGTCAAGGTATACAACATCGCAATCCTTACCACTATCAACTGCCTCAACAATGCTAGAATAAAAAGATAACAAATTTGTTAAACATGAACGGCCATTTATAAAACCATGTTGCGACTCAATTATTAATTTATGTTTTTCAAGATGAAGACGAATTTTATTTGCTATTATAGATTCGAGTAACTTTCCCACAATAGACGTTAGGCTAATTGGTCGATAGTTAGACGCAAGTGATCTATCTCCTTTCTTAAAAACTGGTATCACATTAGCAACTTTCCAAAACTCTGGCACTCTGCCTGACTCTATTGATTTATTAAATATGGTTGACAGTGGGTCACAAAGCTCCTCTTTGCATTCTTTAAGCACCCTAGCAAACACTTCATCCGGCCCTGGGGATTTGTTTGGTTTGAATTTTACTATTTGTTTAAGAACATCCTCCCTGGTAACTGCTAAACTCGTCAACCTGTCCTCGTCCCCACCCACATAGACTTGTTCGGCTGAAGGCATATTGTTAAGTTCCTCTTTAGTAAATACAGATACAAAATATTTATTAAAAATACTACTCATCTCTTCATCACTATCTGTTATTTGACCTGTCTCAGTTTTTAATGGACCTATCCTTTCCCTAGTCTTAGTACGATATAACTGAAAAAACCCTTTAGGATTTGTCTTTGCTTGCCCTGCTATGCGAACTTCATAGTTTCTTTTTGCTTTCCTTATCTCTTTTTTAACATTTCTAACCAGTTGTACGAATTCCTGTTCTAAAGTGACCTCCCCATTTTTAATCCTTTTGTACCAAGCTCTCTTTTTACCTATAAGGTTCTTCAAATTCTTTGTTATCCACTTTGGGTCATTAGTATACGATCTATTCAATTTGTATGGTATACTACGTTCCTGTGCTTTGTTTAGAATATTCTTAAATAAGTTATATATTGAATCCACATCGAAATCCCCATTTAAGTCACCTATCGCTGGGTTCATGTCTCGCTCCAAGACCGGCCCACACCCCATACCCAAGCCATTCCAATCAATTTGACCCAAAAAATTTCTTAGCCACTTGCCAGCAGGTGCAGAAGTACGATGGAGAGAGCAAAGTATACAATATTTCAAGTATAATATTAAAGATATATTTAGGATTTAATGTTTTCCTATAAAGTTTCAATAATACCTTTATTTGATTTTTTGTATTATTTTCTACCACAGACGTGGCCACACATTAACAATGCTAACCAGCATATATACATTTTCTTCAGTTCGCCATGGACTCTAACCCTTTCCACTACCGCCCACAAGATGGGTATAGGGTGCATAATATAAGAACTAAACTAACTAACTCCATTGATAGGGTTAGAGATTTGTTAAACATATAGTTCAGGGATTTATTGAACAATCAACCACATAAGGTGATTGTAGTGTTTTTAAAATGCTAGGCTAAGCTACATACGTAAATACATAAATACACAGATTTACGTATGCCCTACATAAAGTGTTCGATGTGTCTTTTACATAGTGTCATTAACGTGCATTTACAAAGGTGAAATTGAATTCTGACCAGCTTCCACATATACTTTATACACATATACACACACAGACGTATGCGTACATATACATATATATACATACATATATGCACACATACATACACATATATTTGTCTCTTTTACTCTGACAAGGTGAGATAACTGATAGAGAAACTAGTGTGCAATTAAGCACTTAATCACTGAAGGTGATTAAGGTGCTTTCACAAGCTCAGGTTATAGAGTTACATCACATACATTCATTGTATAATTGATACGTTACATGGTCAATCTAGGGTACAAGTTCAATATATTATCAAGTGTTCCAG